TATAATTGGTATTACTTTTCAATACATGTATGTTATCTTCGAAAACATTATAGATACTTTTTTGCAAATAAAACTTTTAAGGGTGTAGTCTACAAAAGGCTATTGTCAAAAAGAATTGGAGGCCCAATTCTTTTGGTAAAGGTTAGACTCCATGAATTTGTGTTGCGTGGTTTTGAGTTGAACAGTGTATGTACTAGGGAAGACTAAAAGGTAGGGAAGAGCCCTTTTACATCATGCCAAGCTTACTGAACGAAGTTACACCAAGAAAGGAACATCAGCTTAGAAGTCTTAGAGATGAAGTAGTGACATGGAATGATAAGGTCAAAGCCACCTACTAGGATTGTTATGATAAAATGAAACAATATGAGATATTTGTGTAGTGCTTTATAAATGCTAGCTATTTTGTTATTAGATGGGAAGATAATGAGGTAGCAAATAGAGGTGTGATCAGAAGGTATCACAGGAAGCTAGGGAGAAGATACCAAACCAGGAGGTAGTCTAGAAATGTCAGGTGCTACCCAGAGGGTGAGGGGAGGCCAGGGAACCCATTTTTTTAAGGAAGTTATTAACAACCTTGGAAAGAGCAGTTTGCAGATGGTAGAGACAGAAGCTAAAAGACAGATTGAAACTTCCATTCTTGCTTTTACCTGAGCAAGTAGTTCCCAGTACTAACTAAACTGTAAAGCTGTATTAATAGCTAAATGCTGTTATTCCTTTCCAATTAATTAGAAGCTGGCTTCTGGCCACACAATCTCATCACAATCATAGGTCAGCATGCCCAGCATAATAACTCTCATAGATACAGATTTTAGTCTGGATGTACATCTAGCTGTAACTTGCCTATGGCTAGGTTCAGTGACTTTCTAATGATCACAGGGTAATAACCGTCAGAGGCAACATTTGACTCCAGGTCTTCTTGATTTCCAAATTCACTGTTCTATAAAAGATGCCCTTTTGCCTCTCCTAAAATGCTCAAATACACTTCAGTCTTCAGAGGGCTGTGGTTTTATCAGCTACCCATGTTGGTAGCTATAGTTTTGTTGATGAGTCTCTCCCAGTCTAGTCCTGTTATTGGGCTTTACTATAAGCCTTCCAGCTTGAGAAAGTTTATACCTACTGGCATAGTGTTTGTGAATCCAAAGTTACTACCACACAGCAGTGAGAAACCAGAACAGTAGCTTTTATTGTAAAATATCTGCGTGAATGCCCATAATATGTGTTAAATGTGAAGAGATTCACTGATTTCTTAAATTGGAACTATGGTTGTAAAACCGTGTAATAGAAGGGATCCTGAACTAAAAATGACATCTGACTTCTAATGCCAGCTGTGGCATTGACTCACTAAAAATAAGTCATTCAACTTCTGTAAGCCTCAGTTTTCCTGGTAAAATGTTGGGCCTAGATTTTTCCTGAAATTTTTCCTGATTTTTCTCTAACACTGTATAATTCTATGGAAATCAGCCTTACAAGTCACAGGCCCAAATTGAGACTGAACAGTAAAGTTAAAGAACAAGTCATAGAAGTAATTCTGTGAAAGAATGATAATGATGAAACCACACCAAAATTTCCTCAGATGGAAAAATTAACATAAACAACTAGAAAAGGAGAGAAATAATGAACTGAACATTGATTTTTAAGAACCAAAAGCAAACCCAAGAAACATACAAAAAAGTATTGAAAATTAGAAGCAAATTAATTAGAAACCAAAAAGATTATAGAAATGATCAAACTAAAAGCTATTTCTTCAGAGACTAGCAAAATTGATAAACTGATTTAAAGAAAGGGCAGAAAATCCTGTCAACAAAGTAGCAAATGAACAAAGTAAATCACAGCAAAACCAGAAATAAGAACTAAACTATAACTATGCATAGTAGATTCTGTTAACAAAACTGAGGATACAAAAGAAATACCCACAGAAAACACTCAAATGACAAAGTAGAGATCTTAAAAAAGATGTCTTAAGATTTTTGAAAAAGAAAATATAATTCACTGTGAAAGAAATTTTTGAAGAACAATTAGGTATAATTACTACACAAATTCTCAAGGACTCTACCTACTATAAATACTATAAATGAGATTGTAAATACTGTAAACCAGGGAAGGATAAAACAAAGGAGAACCAATATAATTTTAAAATGTAAAACAATATCCCATCAAACAAATTTTTGAATAAATTCCTTACAGTCTCATTTCTTTTGTCTCAGTCATGGGATCATAGATTTAGAACTGGAAGTACCTGAGAAGTAATGTAATCTGAATTCAACCCCCTCATTTTGGCAATAAGGAAACTGAGGCACAGACTAAGTAAGTGACCCTGGGTAATTGGATGACACAGGTAGCCAGAGACAGAGCTGGAATTTTGGTGCTGGTCCTCTGACTCCAAATACAGTGCACTTTTACTGCCGTTGTTTTCTTTGTCTATAAAGTGGAAATGATAAAGTTTTCAGAGATACACTAGTGATAACTATTTAGAGGACCTTAGAAGAAAATTTTGTGTTATGTCAAGAAAGTTATTTTAGCAATAGTCTTATAAATGCGTGGTATTTGATACAAATGTAATTTAATCATTTGTCAGGGGTGCATTGCTACTCAGTTTAAAATAATTGTGGGAACTATCAAACTACACATGAAAACGATACATTTATGTATTTTTAAACATTATCTTCCTCTTCAAATTAATTCAAATAATTTATAATCATTTACATTAAAGGTGTAAGGATAATTGTAGCTTGGGAAATGGAGAGCCTATAATGTGAAATTGGGGAAACTTTGTTGTAGTAGTAATATTGTGAAAGAATTTTTTTTTTCTCTTGGTGCTGGAAAGTCACCTAAGAAACTGGCAAGCCTGTATTAAAGTGATGCTGTCCATGGTGCTGAATGTCATTGCTCTTTGAATAATCTTCAAAGTGTATGGCAGAGACAGATAATGAATGGATATATCTAGTTTTAAAAGACTTGTTTATAATTTATAAATAATAATGGGACATTGAATTTGCAGATGAAATTTTTGTTAGAGAAAGTATTTGACATTCGTAAACCATTAGGGATGGGTGCAGATTGTTGTGAATTCAAATGAAGCGTAGTCTGAGGGGATTTCATGTCAGTATTTGAGCATTGTTCATGTGTTGACATAGGAGTTTTAGTCTTCTGTAGGGATCTCATTTTTAAATTCACAAATGAAAGTGGCAAGTTTTTTGATGACACCAGATAATCTGAAAATATATTCTTTGCTTTCAAATTAAAGCAGCATCTAAGTCTCTACTCTTTCTACCCCAACTCCAATAAAAGCACACATTTCTTTACTTTGTATGGTATACAGATGCAATCATGAATTGGATGTCCTGTAAAATTTGACGGTGATACTGTGGTATTTAACCTCTTTGGGCATAAGACTCTTGGCAAATGAGAATGCAAGTAATATTCCCGTAGTGGTTTCAAAGAAAACTACAAAACACTATGGAAACTTTTTGGAAGTTGAGCATGGTATGTACATGTCAGGTAGAACTATCTTCATGTCCTAGTTTTCTAATGGCAAATTAATTTACATATTTATTATCTGTTTCCATATGCAAAAAAGGAGTAATGTCTGCCTAGTATGCCTCATTGTAAGGGGAGCAGATAGAGTGCTAGGCCTGGAGTCAAAAAGACTCATCTTACTGAGCTCGAAGTCTGGCCCCCGACACTTACTGTGTGACCCTGGGCAAGTCATTTGACCCTGTGTGTCTCACTTCCTCATCTGTAAGGTGATCTGGAGAAGGAAATGGCAAACCACTCCAGTATCTCTGCCAAGAAAACTCCAAATGAGAGCTCAGAGTGGGACACGCCTGAAAAACTGCCTCATTGTATTATCAAGAGCAAGTGATATAAATGTAAAATTGTGTGTGTGTGTGTGTGTGTGTGTGTGTGAGAGTGAGTGAGTGATATGTCATTATGTTATAATATTATTGCTTCTTGGTGTATTTATAAGCATTCAACTTAAGTTAACTAGGTTTTTTGCTCCATTTTTCATTGGTATTTTATAGTTGTTCTGAATTTAGGTTTCTCTAATAAAGTTGTCTCTGGAAACAACTGCACTATCATGGATAAAGAGCTTAACTTTAGGGCCAGAAAAAGCAGTCCTCCCACTGACTTGTTTGCTATGTTATGCCTGATCCTGAGCAAGTTACTTAACTACTCTAGACAAAACTAGAGAAGATGCCAATCTGCATTTGTAAAGGGAAGTTTTTTTCACCTTGAACCTCAGCTCCAGTTGAGGTTCTACAAAAAAGCCAATTTACTTTAGACATTACTTTAGATTTATTTTAGATTACTTTTAAAAATGTGCTTTTTACATGAGTAAATATATAATATAGTTGAGTAAAATGTTAAAAAAAATGGCCATTGTTAATAAAACAATAGTTCAGATACTATTCTTTGTTAGTCTGTGTAGATTTTTAAACTGTAGCCCCAATATAGAATATATTTCCCTTTATCCCCCAAAATAATTTAGTTTACATAAAACCTGAATATGATATGTTTTCCTTTGAAACTGGGTCTTAAGTTTTTGTGTGTCATCAACCCCTTTCGCAATCTGGTGAAGCTTATTATTACACTCTTAGTATGATATTTTTAAATGCAGAAAACAGTAAGATTGATAGCATTTTCTTTTGATTTTTCACAGATCCAGGTTAGAACTCATTTTTAGGAGTGTATCCTTATGTTAGTGTACTGAGTGTTTTTGTTATACGCAGACATAGCTTTCTGTTGAATAATATTGATAATTGGTTGTATTTGAGGGAAATATAAAAGGTACTCATGTTTTCCAAAGGAAAACTAACATTCAGATGATCAGTTGGAAATAATTTTTAAATGTATTTGTTAAAACCATTTGTAAGTGTTTTTATTATGAAAATTTATGGCCTCCAATAAAAGTACTTAAATATGGCTCCATTATTGAGTTGTTTATAAAGTGAAGACTTCAGAGTTAAAATACTGAGTTTCTTTTTCCCCCCTCTTCAAAGCTGGAGATACAGATGATCCACCAAGAATTACACAAAATCCTGTCATCAATGGGAATGTAGCAATGGCTGATGGACATAATAACACAGAGGAAGATATGGAGGATGGTAAGTAGATTTGTGAAGGTGATTTATCATTATTTACATTTCTTTAGAGTTATTGTAATTTTTATACAGTGTGGTCTAAAAAGCATTGGCATGTTATGGTTTGAATTGCAAAATAGTTTGTGGATTCCATGTTGAATGTGTTGAGTTGACTTTTTTTTTCCTTTAGTAGTTTGGGAATATCTAAAACCAAAAATTTATAGCAGCTTAGTTTATTTCATGCCTGCAACATTCCATTCACTCATAGCAGCAAGAATGTGAGCTCAAAATGTGAAGCATAGGCTATCGCTCTTTTCTTTTCGAATAGCATAACAATATCTAGATCTCTGGAGCTTGCTTGGTTTTTCCATTGTGTTTCTAATACATTAGCATATAGGTGATTAGTTACTACTTTCCCTGTTAATTATATAGGTATAAAACCAATTTTAGATAGTCTCCATTCTTACACACTATCTCTAGATAAAAGGATACATTTCCTCCCTAGATCATATAGTTATACAAGAATCAGTTTTTGAAGCAAATTAGTTCAATAGTATCAGAAGTACAATTTAATATCGAAGCAAACATAATGAATTCATATCATTTGTACACCACTTTCCTCTTTGACTTTTTCCCTTTCATAAAAAAAGCTTGTATAGTTTGGCTAATTATGACCAGTGAATTTAAAATGAAAAAGGAAAAGGCAAAAAAAAAAACCCACCAAAGCCAAAAAGATACCAGCCAGTAAAAATTTTGTGCAGTCCCTGGAATCTTGCAGTGTAATATGAAACCATGTTCTGTCAAAAACAAGTCCATCAATCCTCATGAGGGTTGTGTCCTTCCCAGGGGAGTAACGGGGCAGTTGAAAGAAACCATCAGTCTCGGGCTGCATCACCAGAAGGACTGCTGTTCAGACCTCCTGCCAAAAGTTCAGCCTCCATGAGAAACTGCAGCAGTAGTTGAGAATTCTCTCACAGTGCGGTTTATCCCCTGTCAGCTGGCTGAGGCAATATCTGAGGAAGGTAAAAAGGCGTGGTCTAAATCCCGCTGCTTTATTACCTGTGGAGTGCACTTACAACCCTGTGTAGAAAAGGACAATTGTGTGGGTATGGTTTTTTGTTGGATTTTTGGTGTTTTTCTTTCAATCACCAGAAATGCCAAAAGAGACTTTTTACAGAAGGCATCCAGAAAACTGGTCTAAATTAACCAGTGTTTATTAAGAAGGTATAGGTGCAGGAGCAAAGAGAGCACTCCACTCTAGCTTGTTATATTTTAAACTGATTATATGCTAAGAGTTTTGTAGAGCTACAGTGAAGGAGGAAACAACAGAAGTAAAATACCTGTATTTCTAACTTAATCTAAAGAGCATTTCTAGTGTGTAATGGAATTTTGATAAAGGTTACTGAATTGTTAGAAATTACACTGCTATTCTTTAGGAGTGGGAGATGAAATAGAGCTGACACTCCTGTCCTTAACTGACAATGAAGCATTTTGAGTCAAAGATCTTTTTGTGTGCTGTTTAAGATGGGTGGTTTTAGGTGTTTGGAATCTTTGAGATGAGGTTGAGTGAGAGGAATTGTAAGATGATAGCATGGCAAATATGGAGTTTGGGCTGATCTCTTTCAGTTGTAACAATTTAAGTTATTCTTTGAAATTTTGAAAAGGTTAATTATAGCTGAGCCCATTTCTTATCCTTATCTTTAGTGTATAAAACATACCTTTAAGAAGTTTTGTAATAGAGATTATTACTAGAAGGGGGTTGGGGTACAAACTTGCACAGGATTGCATATCAGATAAAAAGTTGTGGAGAATTTATTCCAGATTAGCAAAGGATTGTCTCTATGGATCATTTACTAGGACTTGGCAATGGTCTTTTGAACAGGTCATTGTAAGTAGTTCAAACCTGTCTTTATGTTAGGAAGAAAATGACACTACATAATGAGCTTTAAATGTAGCAGTGAGAGAAGGTAAAGATTTAGGTAAGGAGGAAAGAATGGCTCTCCATCACACACTGCAAAGTAAAAAATACTTTATTGATTTATTTTTATCTTCACATCTTTCACATTCTTTTTAATTTTTTTTCTTGTTTAGAAGAGGATGTAATTGAGTTATGCCTGTAGTGTAGCAAGAATTCTGTTAGTGTATGTACATTGTAGTGTTTTGACATCAGACAAAAACAATTTTCGTGTCAATTCTATTTAATAGAGTTGGAATAGAAGGAATAATCAGATTTTCATGAAGTTAGTGGAGAAAAAAGTGAACATTTGTTTTGGAAGCAACATGAAGTGGGATAATTTTTTTTTGCCTCAGTTTCTTCATCTATAGGAATAATAATAGCATATACTTCCAAGGGTGGCTGTGAGGATAAAATGATTTTGCAAACCTTAAAGAACTACATAAATGCCTAAATAGTAGGGGGGAAATGGACCTAGTCAAGTCAATAAACATTTCTTAAGTGCCTACAATGTGGTGGTTACTGTGAGAAGTGTTGGGGATGCAAACGCAACATGCTAGCCAGTATGTACAAATAAAATATATACAAGATAAATTGGAAATAATGTCAAATGGGGGAAGGAACTACCATTAGTGGGAATCAGGAAATGCTTTTTGCAGAAGGTGGGGTATTTTTTATCTGAGACCTGAATGAAAGAATTCAGGAGGCAGAGGAAGAGAATTCCAGTGATGGGGGCAGGCAGCATACTATTTTAGCCTGTAGGTAATTTGGTACCATTTTGAGTTTAATAGGAGGATGGCAGGGTGACTTATCTTTAGGAAGATCATGTTCTAAAGAAAAATTAGAACAATGGGAGAAACCGTGAGAAAAGAAACAAAGAAAAAGAGAGAACAAATAATATGCTTTGATCTGCATTCAGACTCCATAGTTTTTTTTCTGGATGTAGACAGCATTTTCCATCATGAGTCTTTTGGGGTTGTCTTAGATCCTTGCATTGCTAAGAAGAGATAAAATATATCAAAGTTAGTGCTTTTCAATTTTTAAACATTCAGTATCAATTACATAATAATTATCCATCTAGTTCCCAAAGGTGACATTTGCAAAAGTGATAGAAATCTGGAATTTTCCTTCCCAATTGTGTCAGATTTACATCGGGCACATGTAGTGTGAAAATTCCTGTTATAGATCATGATGTATTAAAATTGCTTTTTGGATTGCATATGACAGTAATTACTCTGGTAAAAAGATTGCAGTATTTGACACAGTAAAACAGCCCCTTGACAGTTAAAAAGAAAAAAAGGAGGGTGGCAGGTAGATGGCACAGTGGAGATAGAGCACCGGCCCTGGAGTCAGGAGGAACTTGAGTTCAAATGTGACCTCAGACATATAACACTCACTAGCTGTGTGACTCTGGGCAAGTCACTTAAACCACAATTGCCTCACAAAAAAAGGAGGGGGGAAGTTGGACTATTTACATGCTTAGTACAGGTATAAATGTACTTTTAGGCAGAAGCATCAGTGAGAGTTTCTGAGATTTGAGGAAGATTTTTACCCTTCTGTAAATTCAGGAGTTAATATTTTGGCCTAAATATATGTTTTATTTTTCTTGAAACCTGAATATGTTTGGTAAATCTCATTTTTAGTCCCATAAAGACTTCTGTCTGCACAAAAGCAGTTGGAAAAGCAGGCTCACTCTCAGGGAGTTTATGCCTTAGGACCCAGGTACTACAAAGTAAGATGGACCTCTTACTCTTCTGCTTACTCTTCTTTCCCTTCTACCTCATCCCTGAGGCTGTGGATATAACTACAAGGGGGGATGGGAGTGGGAGAAGATCCTTGGATGTCCCCTTTATACTTGATCTAGTGATGGGACAATATTCTTCCTTTCTCCCTTATTAGATAACTGTACAGAGATTGCTCACAACTACTAAGACTGGAGTTTTCAGTGTTAAGTGTAGGAAAAGTACATGGGTGTGGGATGTATGTTAGATTATAGATCATCTTGAGTTTCTGATTTAAAACTGATCAAGGGGCTGCCCTCGAACAGACAATTTTACTAAGGCTGTTGTGGAAACCAAATGCAATAAAGTGTAACATGCATTTTTAAAAAGTGACATATGTAGGGCATATCAAATAAAAGACTCCTTTGGTTAGCAATAAATGTAAAGTCTTATACTTTAGCTTCATAATTATTAGACAAATGGCATAACTAGATGAAAAAGATGGAAGGTTTTTCTGAACTTGGAGGTCAGTGAGTTAACAATATTTGATCATAGCCTGAATAGTTTCTAGGAATAAGAAGATAGCCCTCCAGCATTCTTCTCTGGCCAGAATATAATTGTATTGTGTTCAGTTATGGTCACGCTATATTTTAGGTAAGACATGGACAGTTTGGAGATATCCAGATGGGGCAGCCAATGCAGTTGAGATCATGTGCCATATAAAGATCATTTTGAAGGAATTAAGTGCACTGAACAAGAAGTTGCAAGGAGGAAAATTAAACCTTGATTAAATTAAGAAAAAGCAGAGCTATCCACCTTGGGAAGTTTAATGAGATCCCTTGAGGAAACAAATAAATCCTCTGTCAGATGTTTCACTGAAAAGATTTTTTTACTCCAGATACATTTTGGACTAGATAGGTACTAAGTGAGCCCTATCTTAAGAGCTCTGTCTTGGGGCCAAGAATAGACTAATGTCCTTATTATATAAATTTCCCCACTTTACTGGATTATTTAACTTGTTTAGGGTCCTACTCTGTGTGTGTGTGTGTGTGTGTGTGTCTGAAGCATGTTTATTTAGTTAAAATAGCATTTTTTTAAAAAAATGTACAAAATAAAATCAGATTTTTATTTAAGATCTCATTTTAGGGGTGCTGCCTTTATTTTAGAATACTCTGTGGTCAATATGACTTGCCTAAATAACAGTTGAGAACCACTGGAGTTGTTCCCTCGTTTAAAAAAATTATAAACGAATGTAAGCAGTTATCTCACATTTTTAGCTTTTCCATCTTTCAGTAGTGGTATATCATACCTCTGCAGAACTATGCTGAATGAATAATTGGGGCGGCAGATTTTACCACAAATCTCAGTCTTTACCATTTCATTTTTAAATCATGTTGCAGTGTCATAGGTCCATAATCATAAATATTTTTGAGTGACCAGAATATATTATTTATCTACTGGAGTCTCACTTCTGGCAAGTTATGTTTAGGGGCATTTCTCCCAAAAGAAATGCAAGATGCACAAATTTAGAGAATCCACCCCAAATGTTCACATGAACTATTTGTGCTTGACCTGAGCACTCTGAGCTTGTATCGATGTGATCAGCTGCTCTACTCTAATGTAGTGATATTAATTGGTCCTCTTAGAGGTTGAAGGACAACAACCAACCAGCTAAGGAGCATTTCCAGATTTGGACATGAAAAGAATCATAGAGATTTAAACTATCATACAATTTGTATTGTATCATCAAAGTTTGGTATATTGTAGTCTGAGTTGTCAAAATAGACCATTGGGGTTAGAAACATGCTTTGCCTTGAATCTGTTTTTATATAGTTTTATATAATAATTTTAGCAATAGGTATTAAATGTTCCTTTCCATAGCTCATAATTGTTAAAATACACTGTTAAAAAAAAAAAAGCTCAATCAGTACTTAAATCAGTAAGATAAATAGTAGTAATTTAGGGATATTGCTAATATTTTTATTGAAAATCATAGCAGTGTCTAGACATAAGAGTTCATTATTTAGCCATATTTATAGAACACTTACTATGTACAAAGCAATAGAAACAGCATATTGTTATTTGTTGTGAAGGGGAATACCTTGAACTTTAATTTTTAGTTCTAGAATTGTGTGTAATGTTTAGAGCAGATATGAGAATGTTCCTTAGCTCTTAGTAACATTCTAAGCCTCATCTGTCTATGGGTGTTACCATTGTATTGAGGTTTTGCAAAGTGCTATGAGTATTATGTCATCACATGTGACTGCTTTGTGGCTCATTCCATAAAGCATTCTATGATGTATTAACCTGAATAATTCCCACCCTTTCCCCTTATAGCAGGTTCTTTATCTCTACAAAAGAATTGGTGTGCTAAGACTTATTCTGACTTACTTAATAGTTGTACTCTTTAGAAAATCATTGGTATCTAACCAGGGAAAAACTCTGAAACATCTTATAGCTTTTGAGGGGAAAGAAATAAGTTATCAAAAATTAGTGTGCCTTTAATAGTTCTGTTTATCTATGGCAAAGAATACTACCCTCTTGTGAGAACTGATGGACGTGTTTTCTCAAGAACAAATTCAAGTGTTAGTGAACTTTGGAAACTTCTGTAGATTTAAAAATAGCAAATTATTGGGAAATCAGTTATGCTCCCAGCTGATTTCCTACAGTCCACCCTACCCACTTCTGACAGGTCGTGAGTTTCTACATTTCATCATTGCCTGACTCTGGGCTACTGGACATGAAGAACTAAAATATTTCAATCCACATGCTTCTCTGCCCGTGCTGTTCCTTAGGCCACGTTTTGCATTTCAGAGGTTTTGAAAGTGGGTTGAGTGAGATTTTTACAAAGCCTGTTTTTTACAGTGTCACTTGTCTTGAGAACATCATAGTTGATCATACTCGAGTGATTTTATTAAGATATTTATCCAAATTATAATGTTTATAGGGAGTAGGCACACCAACTGGAATAATAAGGGTTTGCCAATAGGTGCTAAGGTGTAGTAGGCTATTTTCTACCCTTGTGTACACAAATTAGAATATCCCTGAGGAAAAAAATTAAATGGGAAAACATTTTCCCTATTCAGAGGCATAAGAGAAGTATACATTTTACTTTTTTGGTTATTGTTTAAATAAAAAACTAACTCATGATGCAAATAAGTTTTATGTTAACTTGAAATCAAAATCAGAGGCTCTTTGCTCAGTGTATAAAACACTGACTTTTTAACTCTTAATGAGAAGATATTTGAATATGTTTGAGATGACATTGGTAGATTTTTAAAAATTCAGCCCTTAATGCCAAGGCTTTTCAAGAGAGCACTAAAAGAGATTCCCCAAGAAATCCTACATTTATACCATCTTCTAACAGTCTAATGCAAAGGAAGAGAAAAGACCTGGCTTTAGATAAGGTTTTAAAAAATGAATTATCCTAGCCATAAGAAAAAATCAGAGGGAACTTTTAGATTTCATGACACAATGTTGTTGGGAAAGATGAATTGTTTGCCCAGAATTAGACAAAAAAGCCTATGTCCTTTTTTTTTTCTCCCAGAATGATTCTGAAAATGAGTGCCATCATCTAACAACCTAATGGAACTTTTCAGTTGAACACCAAAAATATACGTACACCAAAAATACCGTAGTACTCTAAAGTCAGTTTTTTCTTCCTTTCATATGCAGTAATGTCAGTTGTTTGGCTATATATTGGTGTTTGAAGATCTTCCATTATTAGGAGCATGGGGCTGGTTATTTAAAAAACAAAAAACCGAACAAAACAAAAATCTGTACTTATTTACCTGGAGGTGATTAATTCTTAACTAGGTGGAAGACAAGCACACATTCTATATTACCTCTTCTGCATCCCCTTATAAACCAGAAAACAGTTGATGTGTTCATCTCAGCTTTTCTTCCAGTTGCCTGGGCCTTTGCCATATATGGGGCCCATTTTCAAAATCTTTGATTTTGCTTTTAAAAATAATTTCATCTTTAATTTTCAAGATTGTCCTTTTTTCTTCCCTCACTTGCTCATCTGAACTGTCAGTGAACTAAAATAAACAGTAGAAATTTAATGTTTTTTTTCCATTGCACTGAATAGATATTCTCAACACTATGGGTAATTGAGTTCAATAAGGAGCCATTCATTGTCCTTGAATATGGTTACTCACTGAAAAACTTACAGATGTTTTCTGTCGTCCCTTCAATTTCCACTGTCTCTGTTTCCATTTTCAGGTTTCATGAGTACACATTTACTAATCTGTTAGAGTTACACATTCAGTAATCTGTTATAGTGGTTGGGACTCAATTTATACTCACAATCATTGTGCTTCATGTTAATCATTAATGGTTTGGCCAATGAATTTCCAACAAGTAGTATGTTTTTGTATTTCTGGCATTTTATTGTTGTCTAGAATTACATATGTATAGTTGAAGAATATTATCAGCTTTAGTATTCATATATGCTCTGATTTCCTGACCATTTTTCTTACAGATACCAGCTGGCGTTCAGAAGCAACCTTTCAGTTTACAGTTGAACGTTTCAGCAGGCTGAGTGAGTCAGTCCTTAGTCCTCCATGTTTTGTACGGAATCTTCCATGGAAGATCATGGTGATGCCACGATTTTATCCAGACAGACCACACCAAAAAAGCGTAGGATTCTTTCTCCAATGCAATGCTGAATCTGACTCCACGTAAGGGACTTACAATATAATGACAATATAAAACCATAAATAGCAATGTTAATTAAATTTTCATTAAACATGTTTGATACATTTAATACAAGGCCTTTTTTTTCCCTTTGGAAAATGTGGAAAGTAATTTCTCTTTAGTCCTTCTGTTTACCATACTTTTGTATTCTTATGAAGTTCTAGCCCTAATTGTGTTGTATCCTCAGTTCATAAACCAATAAAATGCCTCTCATATGGGCAGTTGCAGAATTCCTGCTATTCCTAGCCCCTGCTAGCCCAGGAAGTCAAGGGTTATTCTGTGTAGGTCTATAGTTAGGTTGCTAGATACCTTTAGCATTATTATATTCATTTAATATCTTCTGAGGGGAAACCACTTCATGATTTGACAGTGCTAGCTTGTCTCTTATATGGTGTTTTGTTTTGTTTTTTTACATTTTTTACAAATGTAGATAAAAATATCTACATTTTTAAGCAACCTAGATCCAAAGAAAAGCTGAAAGGTACTTTGGGAATCATCTTGATGAAGCTTGTTTATTTATGAGTGAGAAAACTAAAACCCAGAGAGACTAAACAGCTTGCCTTAATGTGATCTAACTAGTTAGTGATAGACCTGGGGCTAGCACTCACTTCTCATTGTCAAACCCAGGCCTTTTCTAGCATACTGCAGGATATTTAAGTGGCATTTAATGTTTGGGATATCTTCCTCATCCCCTGTTGTATTGAAAATGTTATTCATTTAATTTCCAAAAAATATTCAGAACAGGGAAAAATCTGTGGTTCACATTTTGTGAATTTATAAAACAGCATATCTGAAAGTTACGATTCATTACAGAAGATCATTGGATGTAGAGCTAAAAGGGGCCACAAGTGGCCTCTAGTACACAGGTTCCCCAACCCTGTACAATCCAACCCCTTTCATTTCATAAATGAGGAAATGCATTAGAGTGTTTTGTAAAAGCACTTCTTCAAAGTTTCTAAGGTGGAACAAGTCCACTTTTCTCCTCATTCTTATGCCCATAACTTGATGATTATAAATGGCATGCTTAAATTAAGGAGTGCGGAAAATACGCCGTTTGGTGGTCGCTAGGTGCCACAGTAGATAGAGCACCGGCCCTGAAGTCAGGAGGGCCTGAGTTCAAATCTGACCTCAGACCAAACACTTGACACTTACTGTGTGACTAGTCACTTAACCCCAATTGCCTAAAAAAAAAAAAACAAAAAAGAAAGAAAGAAAAGAAAATGTGCCCCATTTATGGGAAGAGCGTATGTAATGTTATGTGTTCTCTGATCAGAAGAGGACTCATCGCAGTAGAACATAGTAAAAGAAAATTGTAAAACAAATGTCATTTTTGTTCCATAAATCTCTGTGGCCAGTGTCACTATTAATAATGTTTATAATATCACCTTTTAAATGTATTGAGAAAGGGCTTGCCTTTCTTATTTAATCTTCATAATCTAGGGCAGCTAGGTGATGCAGTGGATAGAGCACCAGCCCTGGATTCAGGAGGACTTGAGTTCAAATGTGACCTCAGACACATAACACTTACTAGCTGTGTGACCCGGGGCAAGTCACTTAACCACATCACCTAACCAAAACCAAAAAAAACCCCCACATAATCCACATTAGATTGGGGATAAATGCTGGTCTTATTTCATCCTAGTTTTGGTGATCTTTCACATGCTCATGAATCAAGGTGCAGCATAGTGAGTTATGGAAAGAGCCTTCAATCTGGATTTCAGAGGGCTTGGGCTTTTATCTCCTGTCTCTGCTATTTGTTTGCTACTAGTGTGATTGGGGCCAGTCCTTTCATCTCTTCCAGGCTTAGTCTTCTCATCTATGAAACAGGGAGGTAGGACTAAGTATTCTCAGATTCATTTTAGCTCTAGAGTCAAAGTTTTCCAGGCAAGAAAACTAGTTCATTTTCAACACAGTTTAGACAGAATATTCAAAAGAGAAGAATACAATCTAGTGCCAAAAATTTATAGCCCAACATACAGCCCCTTATTGGTTTAAACACACACACACACACACACACACACACACAACACACGAGAAATTAGGGCACATTTGCCAGCAAAACATTTGCTTGTGACTAGCAAAAATTTAATATTGGGGCTTTTGGTCCTTAGCTGAAGTTCTTGTAGTTGAATTCAGAATTCTGTTCTCAAATAGACAAGCAGAGGTATCACATTAAATGATACTTTTCTAAACATCAGTACAAAATTCTGCCATATCACCTGAGTGAAGATGGTTAGGTCATGCATTTGATTAGTCATGAAGGCATTTTTCTTAGGTTTCCATTATTCACTTTTCTTTGCAAACTTGAAGCATATAATCTACATGTTACCCTTTTTATGTGGTTTTTTTATGTATGCCTAATGGCTTACAATTTCATGGTAATTATTAATCTTATTTACCTCTTCTCCACCTTATTCCTTTTTCTTATTAGATGACAAAAGAGAATTGTAAAAGTAAAGTTTGCTGGCTGACTTCAGCCCTTTGAAATTTAACTATATTGACACCTAAAATCAGTATCTTTATTGTTAGAATATTTTGGGCATTGCCATTTGAAAGCATTATTACCTTCCTTATGCTTTTGTGGGATTATTATTATTATTGTTATTATTATTATTTTGGCTAGGCAATGGGGTTAAATGACGTGCCCAGGGTCACACAACTAGTAAGTGTCAAGTGTCTGAGGCCGAATTTGAACTCAAGTCCTCCTGACTCCAGGGCCAGTGCTCTATCCACTGCGCCATCTAACTGGCCTCCTTATGTTGTTTAAAGAACAACTAACTTTTATGCTATTGTAAAACAATGAGCTTGTAAGTTTTTTACTGCAAGAGTAATTTTTAGAGAGGCAGCATAGTGCTGTAAGAGGGCCATATTGGGTTCATATTTCCCCTTTGACCTTTTCTGGTTTTGTGACCTCAGGAAAGTTCCTTACCTTCAGTGCCCCAGGCAACTTTTTTTTTCTTTTTGTTTGTTTCGTTTTTTTGGTGAAGCAGTTGGGGTTAAATGGCTTGCCATGGGTCACACAGCTAGTAAGTGTCAAGTGTCTGAAGCTGGATTTGAACTTGGATAATTCTGACTCCAAGGCCAGAGCTCTATCCACTGTGCCAATTAGCTACCCGCAGGCAACTTTCTAAGGTTGCAGAATAGTTGCTGACCTGCACTGGTTGAGAAAGCTTCCTTACCAGCAACTCTCTATATCAATGAAATCACAGGTCCAATTATTTTAAAAGCCACAACAGGAATAGCAGATACTGTTCTTTTTATCTTATTGTAACTGTTTTTGGTACAACCAGTTTCTCACCAAAGAAAATTAAAAGGCAGAAAAAGCATTAAGTTTTATTTTTTTTAATCAGGTTTTTAAACTGATTAATGTTTGTTAAAATATATGAAGTAAGGTGTTAAGGCACTATGGTGGTGTCTTAAATATATTAGTTTATCAACTGAGCCTTTCATATCTTCATATACTTTTTAAAAACAGGTCATGGTCTTGTCATGCACAAGCTGTGCTGAAGATAATAAATTACAAAGATGATGAAAAATCATTCAGCCGCCGCATCAGTCACTTATTCTTTCATAAAGAAAATGATTGGGGATTTTCCAATTTCATGGCATGGAGTGTAAGTTAACAATGTGCTTAGTATATATTACAATTGGATTTTATATCGCTTATTTCACTAAATGCTGTATGATTCCTGTTCATAAAATGACTCTGGATTTTAGCATCAAGATGTTAAGTATATGGGCAAAAATTCTTAATGACATTGCATGTTTTTCTAGTTTACCAAGGAAACATTTATATGAAGCTGTGCCCAGTTGGAAATATGTATATACTATATTGTCGGTAAAGACAAAACAGTAGCTAATGTCTACAACAGGAAAACAAAACAGCTGAAATTATGAATCGTTCATTATTAGTAGTACCTGCAGATTCTATAAAACTACTAATATTTGAGCCTTTTGTATCATTATCACTGGTTTGACATAAACATTTTAAGGAACTAAATTAAAGTATTGGTAGTGTTTGTATATTCCTGGAGTAATTTCTTAAAAGTCTAATGGGTCTTTTATGCCTTGCTTGGTGCACTGCACACTGAAATATTACAAAAATAAAAACTAAAAGCAGGATTGCTGAAGCTTAACAAAGATGTGACTCAGGGTAGAGGGTGCTACTTATTGGACAAACAGGTATTAAATTAATTAGACAATCCTTACTTAAAAGAAACTTACATGTCAATAGTATAACTATTGTCTGTTTGGAAAGAATTTATGTAGTTCATAATTCCTACTCTTTCCAAAAATAAATTTTAACAAAATAGAATTGAGTAAATATAAGCTTGTTATGTCCTATACAGATTCAACAGTCTTTTTTTCTATTTTGTAGGAAGTTACTGATCCTGAAAAAGGATTTATAGAAGATGACAAGGTTACTTTTGAAGTCTATGTACAGGCAGATGCTCCCCATGGAGTTGCGTAAGTTTTTAGTTTTGTCTTCAAGAAAGTTTCCTTTAGTCAAGCCATCAGAACATATAAAACAGGAGCTATATTTCTAATGCTCTTTACTACCCTAGTTGTAGGGGCTGTTGATTTCATTGGTGTGGAGATATCCTTAGACACAGGTCACAATCCTTCTGTGATTCATCAGAACATATTAGCATTAGAATGACTGAAAAATTAGTATCTATAACATTAATTTGTTATTAAGGTTCTCCTCTCCAGATTTAGCTAGCCCATTCCTTGTATGGCAGACTTATAGTCCATTGAAAAGTCTATACTTGATGACTTTTTATTTTGGTATTGGGCCTACCATACTTTCTTTGTAGCTATAGCCTTCAGGAATTCTACCTCAGGGTTCCATGCTGCATTATAGCTTCAAAGGAAGATGGCCATTTATTTAGTGATTTGAGAGGAACATCGTATGTAAATAGACTCCTATATAGGATAAGAGTTACACAGAATGAGACAGCATGAATGGAATGCAATTTGTACTCACAAGCACATCCATCAAAACCTCCTATTATAGTAAACCATGTCCTTACACAAATAAGTAAAAGTTATAGCATAGATAAGTCCTTAAGTCTGTCTCTCTTTCCTCTTTTACAACTACAAGCACATGACAGCAAAACATAGCCCCAAAGGCTTTCCACCAGTGGCATGTATCTCACACATATGTTAAGATCATAGAAAATTCCTCCAATATATATGACAGTAATAACTTTTTCAGTGTTTTTGTAATTATCAATATCAAGTGAAATTTAAAAAGGCAAGTATATGTGCTTGGCTGAGAGGTATCCTATCCAGCATCTAAATGGAACAAGGATTTCCTTTTGCTGGTGAAGTTATCCCAATACTGTATTTATGAATGACATTGTACTGAGGCTATCAAGTCTCAGAATATTTCCTCAATAAGATAATAAATCACAAAGGAAAATTAAGATGATTGAAGATTACCTCTACCTGTACTTAGACTATGGCATGCAGTTAGATGGACAGTCCATTAACACATTCATCTTGGGAAGATACTGCAGATGGACAATGAGTTTTGCCCATAATTAAATAGAAGAGAAAGCTGCTTCCTGAACCTGCAAATCATGGAACATTAAAAAATTTAAAAGGATCAACAGTGGTTTGTTACCCAAAAGACAATAGAAAGATTCATGTTATGTAGATTGTGTAATATTACCAACAGTGACATACATAAAGGAGTAGTACAGAAGGGATTCAGGAAATGTTTGATTTTGTTGTTCATCTAGCAAAGCAGATAGACTAATTGCTATGCTGAAACTGTTAGAAATTATTGTTAAACGACCTAGAAGGTCATCAGTATGTGCAGTAGATCCACTATGGAGAACAAATGGGAGGGCTTGCAAAATAACAGGGAAGATTTATATAGTGCTTTAAGGTTTGCAAAGTTATTTTACAAATACTTTAATTTGATCACCTTTGTCAAATAGGCTTAGTTGTAAAACTAGAAATGGGTGTGATACCTTCCCATGGTCACACAGCTATTAAATATTAAAGGTAAGATTAAATTCAAGGTTCTGTAGACTCCAAAATTAGCATTATTTCCACAGCATTATGCCTCCCTTTTTTAGGACATTACTCCTACAGAGTATGAAGATGTGAATATGTTAATGTGCATTGTAGATATTGCCCATATTTATGAGATCATGGATCAAATTAAGCATATTACCTACCACTAGTATTTGGAAAGTTATTATTAGTACAAGTATTATGAGCAGAGCTTTCCTCTGAACTCCTTATTTTCATATTTCAAGATAAGTAATTGCTACAGAAGGCTTACTCAAATACTGGTTTTTATACCATAAACTACCAACAAAAATTTAAAGAAAAAAACCTGACCAGTGTTTAAATCTTTTCTCCAACCCTTATATGCTTTAATCCTCCCACAAATGAAAACTCTTTGGTTAACCCAGAATGATAGTATAGCAAATACTTATCACCAGTTACTTTGAAAATCTTCAATCTAGCAAACACATACCTACTGTGTGGCCCTGTCGGGCATGCAAAGATATCCTGTTTCCCTGCATTCACAGGCCAAGGGTGCTCACCCAGAGCTTTGAAAAACAGAAGTTTTTAACTGATGTCTGTGAACTTTTATTTTTAAATATTTTGATAACTTTCAATATAATTTGTTTCTTTTATCATGTGTATTTTGTAATATCATTTGGAGAAGGAAGTTGACTGGCTTCACCAAGCTGCTAAAGGGATTCATGATGCAAAAAGTGTTAAGAATCCTTTCTTTATTGTATTTTTTTACACGATAACTTTGTTATATATTTAAAATGAATAGCAAGTTGTACATAAAAGATTTGCAATTTCATGTGCAAATCATCCTTTTTTAATTATACTGTGTTATGGTAATGATTGTTTTATTCCATAAATTAAATTTTAAAAATCCTGCTCTTAGGAGCCAGTAGAAAAGAAAGAGAAGAAAAAGTTTAGTGACGCATTTTCTTCTTAAACCAAGCATTCTTTTGGTTAACTTTCCATACCTGTGTTCTGTTCATGGATTCTGTTCCTTTGTGACAGGAAACCATCAGCTTTTATTCTGTATTCAAAATACTCTTCTTCATTTTTAGCATTCAGCTCTGTTTTAATTTCATCTCCTCGATATTAGGGAATGTCATATCTGTAGATTGTATATCTACCTCTGTCAATAGAAATCAGCAACTGTAAAACTGCAGTTCTTCTAGGGGAGGTTTGGGTGAGGTGGTTTGCCCAGTACTGTATGTGTCACAGGTGGGACTTAAGCCAGATATTCATGATGATGAGGCTAGATCTCTATTTGCTACACTTTGAAGTTGAATTTGTTACAGTAGGATTTTACCTGTGCTATGTATAGGGCATGCATTCTCATGTATTTTTCCTTAGTTACAATAGCTCCCCTAATTCATCAATTGTTTCAGCCTCTTTTTTTTTTAAACCAATTTCCATGACAGCTGGCTGGGATTAGAGCTTTTGTCTTGAGTACAAAATGCTAAAACTAGCCAGCTCACTGTAAACCTTTGTCCTTGATTTCATTAATACAATGCTCATTTACATGGGTCAGTAGTAAATTTCATAACTAATAATTACTCAGGCTTCTATCATTTTAACGTGGATAATAAATCAGTCTTCTTTCCATCCTATGCAGTAGGTAAATATTTTGAGATTGATATGTATCTGAGTTTTGTGATATTTAATATGAAGGTAAATAGTTAAAACACATGCGTACATACGTACATGTGTACATATGTACATTCATAAGTACATAGCTTTTACCCTTAACCTTAAACTGTTTTTAGGTGGGATTCCAAGAAGCATACAGGATATGTTGGTTTAAAGAACCAGGGAGCAACTTGTTACATGAACAGTTTGTTACAAACTTTATTTTTCACAAATCAGCTACGCAAGGTAAAGTGTATCTCATTTCTCCCTCCATTTTCTTTTGTCTTGTACCTTTTCATTTAGAAGAATACTCAGAAAATTCTTTTAGTAGACTATTAACATAAAATTTGCCTTTATTCAGTCATTGTTCTTGTTAATCACACAAGTGATTAAAATACAGTGAATATGATTTAGCTTTAACAAACCATGCCTCTATGTAATTGTTCACAGATTTCTATTTGAGAAATAAACTATATGTTCATCATCCTTTTATATTTCATATTAATATGTTTAGAAATTTAATGAAAAAAATTCTATCTTAATATCTAATGTAAAAAGCACATAAGTAGACCTTTTTTTTTAATCAGCAGTGTTTATCATCACTAAGTGCATTTTGCTAATCAGCCTTAGCTCTTAATAGTTGGCATATATTTCAACATGTTCTGGATTCAAATGTTCTCATTTTGGTTGTTTACCTTCTAATTAGCTTATAATTGTAGGAGCTGTAGTTTGCTTTGGCATGATCTGAAAGTGAATAAAATTGTATCATTTTGAGATATTAAATTTTTTCTTATCAAGGTGAACCTTAGATTTTACCTAAATATTATTTTTTACATATTTACTTTTATAGAGAAGCCTCAAATTACCAGTACATGAAGAAAATGCATATTTGTGTTTAAGACAGAAAATTTCTCACGGCAGGAATGAGTGCAAAAATGGCGTATTTTTATAACTTTTAAATAAACAATTCTTTTTAGGCTGTATACATGATGCCAACAGAAGGTGATGACTCATCAAAAAGTGTTCCTTTAGCCTTACAAAGAGTTTTCTATGAACTACAACACAGTGACAAACCAGTAGGAACAAAAAAGCTAACAAAATCATTTGGGTAAGTATGAAGAAACCCAATTCCTACTTGCATTTAAAAGTGGTAATTTTCTCTAAAATTGATTTAAGCATGCATATTATAGTGCATCAACCAGTTTATCATTTAAAACCCTAATCCACACTGGTTTTCTTTCTCCAGATGGAACAGTGAAACATAGAAATGAATAAAAATAGGGTAATATGCCTGGGATTCAAGCAGCAATTCCATTGTTTATTATATTCCAATGTTTATTTTCAAAACGTGTTGGAAGAAATTAAAGGAATTAGCCTCATTTCATTAGGACTGCTCTGACATATCTTCTAAGCTATCACAATCATAATTGAAGAGAAACTTGACACCATTTAATACAAGTTCCCTATGAACCTCAGTGATCTGAATTTTTAAATCCTAAAAGCCTTAAATGAAAAATTTCAGAAAAAAATATACTAGTTTGATGTATACACAAAAGAAAAGCAGCATATCTGGAAATGAAAAAATTGGAATGAAAATTTCACCATTAGTTTTGATACAAATTTGGTATTTGTATTCAAGAAGGGATCTGTACAAGTTTTATTCCTCATTAAATTAAGTGGTAAAAGTAGATTAACAATAGTAACCATGTCTTTCCAATAATAAGTGAAATGGAAAAAAATCTGGATGCTACCATTCATATATACGTGATTCTGTGCCAGCAGGACTGTGGAGAAACAGGTAGACTGATAGAAATATTTTAAATTAGTGTAGTCTTTTGGAAAGCAATAGGGACTAGTCAGAGATACAAAAATACTCACATCTTTGAGTTGATGGTCCTTATGTGGGATTGTTATTGACCCAGGCTTAAAGGGACAGTGTCTACACATTTTAGTACCAAAAGTAGAAAGTAACCTGACAAATCATGAATAGCTCAATTGCTACATACTACAATGTATGAATTGATGAAATATGCCACTTTTTAAAACACAAATGACTGATAAAATATTCTGTGCCTTTGAATATATTATCCCCTGGGTCTGCATTGCACACCTTCCTCACCTTCATTCATAGAATCCTTCCGTCAAAGTACTTGTCCAGTACCACTGCTTAAGCTTTTCACATCCCTCTTGCTAATTTACTTTTTATATGCTTTAAATTATTTTGTGTTAATGTTTATCCTTCTATAAACTCCAAGGGAACAAGATTATATAATTTCCACCCTGGATTCCCACCACCTGGCCCAGTGCCTTGTAAATATTAAGTGCTTAGTAAATGTTGCTTGAATTTGATGAAATTTTATGTAATTTGATACAGAGTGAAAAAGGAATCAAAACAAGAGTATGTATACAGATCATAAGTATGTTAATACAAAAATCAGAAGAAACAAGCTTAAGTTAATTTATTAAAGATAACTTTTAAAATATACTGTAATGGAAGCCTACAGTTTCATTTATAATTAGAATTCTTTGTGTTGAATATTTTTGTTGATGCATCAGTTAATTAGCAATACATTCTATATCCTGACACAGTCTATAAAAATTGTTTTTTGTTATACATCTAGGCTAAAGAATTTGCTTCTCAAAAAAATCTTAAGTGCCTATGTTCTTAATTTACCATCCTTCCATTTTCTCACAGGTTCACAATATCACCAATCCCATTGATTCCTTACTCTCCTTCACTATTATAGTAATTCAATTGCCAAATCTCGTCAAATTAACCTCCACAGTATCTCACAAAATTAGCACCTGGAACTTGATATTTTTACTCTGCATTTAGCATTCAGGAAATTTCAATTTCACGAAGAAAAAATACACATTCAGATACACAAGGTGTATTTGACACAAGGTGTATTAAAATGCCTTAATTATTTTTGAACTGTTTTTTCCCCTTGTGTATTTTTCCAGAATTCACTGCTGGTTTTTTGGTGTTTGTATTTTTAATATGTTATTTCATGTATACATCATTCTTCCTTAAAGTAACAGTAAAGAGCCTTGCATATAAAATCTTTTATTTGTAATTTCTCAAACTTCACTAAGAAATAGACTATGGAATAGTGCATAGAAGGTGGTTGACCTTAGATTCAGGAAGATTTAGGTTCAAATACTGCTTATCATTTTTATATAGTTCACTTCTGAAATCCTCAGGCAAGTTTCAGGTGAGTCGTTCATGGGTAGATTGGATTTCTATATTGGAAATTCCATATACCTTTCTCTCTCCTACTATTATGGTTGTTATATGCCAAGAAAAATTTATTTGCTTAAAAAATATTTCTATAGATAGTAAGATCCTTAGAAAATAAAAGGACATCATTCATAATTTCAGAGGCAGTTTCCATGTTTCTGTTTCTCCATGGCTGTTAACAGCATTGAATTTTACCATTTAACTTGAAATTTTTTTTCAGGCACCAGGATCTTAAGTGGTGATATTTGACTTAGGGTAGATTCTGTATGTAGAAAGTATTTTATAGCTATATAGACTTTTAATTTCTCTCAGATCTCCAGGATCTCAATTATGATATTTTCTAAACAAAATTTGGACATAGCATAGACTAATGCTCTTTTAATTTTATCACTGGAAAAATTCTGCATTTAAACATTCCAACTTTGTAAAAGTGTACTTGGTCATCTTTTTAGCATAAATATCAGTCAGTTGTACATAAATTGAGTACATAAATTCTCCAAATTATTGTTGAATTCTGTTTACAGTTTAAATTGATTTAATCTGATAGAAATCCAGAGGCAGATTTGTAGTCTTTGGGTTAGAGCCCTGCTTCTGCTTCCTCACTCACCTGCACTTCCTTGAACAAGCCACTTTGTCCTCATTGGCCCAAATTTCTTCACTGTTAAAATACTGGGGTTGGACTAGAGTGCCTTTCCAGCTCTTAAATCTACAGTTCCATAAAATAGAAATTTTATTTTTATCTTTTAAAAGATGGGAAACTTTAGACAGCTTCATGCAACATGATGTCCAAGAACTATGTCGAGTGGTAAGTTTCCAGCAGTATTTTTATGCTGATTATGTAAAATAGGTTTTTCAAAAAAAAAGTAAAGTACATTTTATTGCTTAATAAAAAGTCAAGCCCAGGTGTATATGCAATTTCTTTTGTTCAATAAGGAGTGACATTGGGTCATTGTTGACTAAACTTAGGTGTAAGTTTTGTTACCCTTTGTAAAATGAGTATGTTAGTCTAGTACATGAGGTCTAAAGTCCTTTTCAAACAGCGAGATTCTGCGATTCTGCCAAGGTCTCTTCTAGGACTAATGCTATGCTCTTCCCTCTCTACAAAGGAATAATCTATTTTGCATTTAGTTGCTTAAAACTAGAAACAAACTATTTCCTGCTAGGAAGAAAGAGTAGCTTTTTCTTTAATACAAAGATAACCAGTAAAGTTGTTAAGAGAAATCTTAATAAGGTTGAGAACTTGGAATAGGTTTAAATTAATGCAAATTTAGTCTTATTATAGTGAGAATGTGTGTATAGTATAGTAAGCAGATTGAATTAGATGTGTTTAATAGAAATCACTTTGGATCCAACACTACTTTACAAGGTCTCTTTATATACCACAATACATGGCTTCTCCCTTCATAATTTAACCTACATGCGGATCTCCCACGTCAACACCAGGTTGGAATATTTCCACAAGAAGTTACATGGAAATTAAAGAAAAAAACAATAAAATTTTAAAATTTGGAGACAGATCAGTTTATTAAAGCCTGTAGTTTTCCAAAAAAAGTAAAGCATAGCCTAGATTGGCATTTTTGGATTAGCACATTTTACAGGACATATAACTCAATATTTTCTGTGACACTCTCTGCGTGCACCCCTCTCCGCCCCCTAATTGTTAAACCCCGTTTGGTGCCTAATATAAGATTCTGTTGTCTTACTAGTTAATGACAATGTAGCCACCATCATTCCTGTAGCCTAGCTATATTAGACCCCATAATAGCCAAAATCAAGTTCTGTTTCTTATTTCAAAGCTTACAAACTTCATTAGACTTCAAACTAAGTCTGCTTTCTTGTTTTGAGAACTGCTTCACAACTATTCTGCCTCTTAAGATGTCATTATCTTTACATATGTCGTGATTAGCTTCTTTTGTGATAGAAGTATCTAGAAAATTAATGAATAACAATACTGAATTTGGGCTCGGAAGACCTAATGAATTCAAACCCGTATTGTGCTGCTCATTAGTTTTATGTCGTTTCTAACCTGAGCTTTCTCATCTGTAAAAAAGGAAGTTTTGACTACTTGCTTTCTCAGGTCCTTTTAACTCTTATAATCTATATAATTTGATATGATTATGATATGGTAAAATAATATATGATAATAGGAGCTATATAATCATTAAAATTAAAAAAAGTTTTAAAATTCTGTTTCAGTTGCTTGATAATGTGGAGAATAAAATGAAAGGAACGTGTGTAGAAGGCACCATACCTAAATTATTTAGAGGCAAGATGGTGGTATGTAAAATACCCACTAAAACTATTTTGAAAGAAATATTTAAATGGTTGCTAATTACTTGTAGTAAAGCTGTATATTAAGCTAGTATGTTTTTGTTGCAGTCCTATATCCAGTGCAAAGATGTGGACTATCGATCTGATCGGAGAGAAGATTATTATGATATCCAGCTAAGTATAAAGGGGAAAAAAAATAGTAAGTTCCACATACATAATATCTTGTTGAATTAAGTCCCAAATGAAATTTTACATTTGGTTAAATGTATTTGTTTTCCATTTGTCCTGCTTTGATTGCCTATCACCTTTTCTCCAGTGTTGATGATTATAATGGTACAGTGAATTGCAATTTTGTGAAGAAGGTGCCAAGTAAAGAAAAAGTTGCTTATGATTTTGTTAAACATGTTGAATTTGTTGACCCTTGAATTCTTTAAAAGTCTTTAAATTGACTTATATACTACAATGTTTGTAATAACCACATTTTTATAAAAATGTTTTATATCTTTTCTTAGTATTTGAGTCCTTCATAGATTATGTGGCAGTAGAACAGCTAGATGGTGACAACAAATATGATGCTGGAGAACATGGCTTGCAGGTACCTTGTGAATTTTGTAACAGTATCTCTTAGCTCATTGATAGTGGTATATTTCTGGCATCTACCTTAATTTTTAAATTCATTGCCAGCCAAATTATAATGTTGGTAGAATTCCCAGATCCGGATCTTTATGTGGAACAGAATATAAGCATATACCTAATTTTGTAGCTTTGCAATAGTCTTATAAATAATTGATCATTATTGCATATTTTAAAAAATAAGACTAGACAGCTGTCCTAATAAAAATTAAATGTCTAATTTAAATGCTGGTGTTTTGGTTACTAAGAGATAATAATAGCTTGCCTGCGTTTCTTTTTCATTGTTCAGGAGGCTGAAAAAGGTGTGAAATTCCTCACGTTGCCACCAGTGTTACATCTGCAACTCATGAGATTTATGTATGACCCACAAACGGACCAAAATATCAAGATAAATGATAGGTAATATAGAGATAAATAACAATCATGTATAGTTGTTACCATTCATTAGAGGTTTAAGAAACACTTTGATTTACATATATGTTACTTAGCCTGCAGCTCTAACTAGTTTACATTATATTTCTATATAAGTGTGGCATTAATACTTGAACTTCAAGATAAGTTGAAAATTATGCATTGCTTCCCCAATATTCACAGCCCAGGAAATGTTTTCAGTACATCTTCAACGATTTTGATCTCCCTTCAAGCCCGCTAAAAGAAATTTTTTTTAACTTTTACTAAATTTGTCATGCCTTAATGGAGTGTATCTATCTATCTGTTATAGTATATTAGGGATTCTTAGCCATATTACAAAAATAACCTTACATAAGATTCACGGTTCTTGTAGCTGACTGTTGTAGTTTATATTCCTTAAAAGTAACTGATTGATATTGAAAATAGCTTAGTGCAGAATTTCTGACTTTCACAACTTCTGCCCAGTCTTATTAGAAATAATGCTTTTTGTTGTGACTTGAGGGAAGAGGTACAAATGTAAATAGGTAAACATAAACACGTATCCTGTTGATGATAGTGTGCTTCTACTGTTTTAATTAGTAACCATTAAGTGTGTTCTCTAATACCAGCAAAGAGGAAAGATGAGGTCATACATACATGTTTAGTGTGAGGCTTAAAAAAATTCAGACTAGTAATATATTTTTCTTCAAAAGCTTCATTATGCTTCTAAACTGGTTAGTTGTCGATGACTTTTTAAAAAATTTAAGAGCTGGATATCTTTGCTGTCCCTTTTATGTTTATAAACAGTGACACAGATGTGGCTTAATTAAAAGTTATACAAGTACATCACTTGATGTTTTTCTCAAAAGTTGTCAATAAATAGAATTTTGGTGAATCAAATTTTAAATACTACCTGGTGACTGAATCAAACTTACTAAAGGGATTCTGTGAAGGGTTCTCAAAAGCTCTGTTTTCATTTGTATTTCTTCCCTTACCTCTGGCTCTTACCAGTGTTACCTAAAGCATGATAACACCTTTTAAGTACAGTGTTTCTCAAACTGTAATCCATAGAGCTTTGGTGTTGAATTCAACATGAGAAAGAGTTCTGTGGAAATCTCAGTGGTAGTGGGTCATTTAATAATCTTCGAGGAAGGTCTCTTTTAATACAGCTTTCCCTTTCCTTGCTACCTTGTAGTCTGAAACCTTCCCCAAATCCACAGGTATGAGTGTCCACCTGCCTCAGCAGCTATGAAGGGCAAAAGAAAGAGACAAAAAGTGATCTATGACATTTTAAAACATAATAATGATTTTTGGCATGGGGCATGAAGGAGCGGTTCAGGAGAAGTTTCATACTAGACCTGGAAGGGCATTCTAAAAGTGGGGAATGGCTGTGCAATACAGCATAACTATCACTTCTGGCACTTCTTATTCATTCTGCATAAGGTCATTTTCCCCAGCCGTGTCACACATTGATTCATTGATCTTGCATTCATTGCACTGATTTTGCATCCTTTCCCAAAGAAAGATACAAACCAATTGAGTTTCAGAAAGTCTTAGCATTGCTTTAGGCTGCTTCTTGGCCACACAACCTGAGAAGTACTGCAGTCCATTCCTAGCATGAACTGTGGAGCAGGAAGAACAAGATGGAATAGTTGGATACTATGGTTTCATTATTTTGTTTGAAAATTTTTCAGTTTCCAGAAAATCAGCAACAGCTCTGTTCATATTAAGTAGAAAAATTACCATCCAATGGCCAATATCAGTTTTTTTTATGTCATCTATCTTTGTGTTAACCATGTCATGACTTCTTCCATTAACATGGCTAATTAAGATTTTTTTTACTAGTGACAAGCATAACTTTCTGAAATACTTTACATCTATTGAAGCTATTTCTTTTTTCTCATAGGTTTGAGTTTCCTGAACAGTTGCCACTTGATGAGTTTTTACAGAAAACTGATCCCAAGGATCCTGCAAATTATATTCTTCATGCAGTACTAGTACATAGTGGAGATAATCATGGTGGACATTATGTGGTTTACCTAAACCCTAGAGGGGATGGCAAAGTAAGTAGCTAAAGTTATTAACCCTTAAAGTAAAACCCCAAATATAGCCACCCTTTTTAAAAATAAACTTAATAATTTTGAGTTCACCTGTAATTGTTTCATTTTTCTGTGAAGTTAGACATTACTTGTTTTAAAATTTATCCAGGTCTTAAGTTTTTATAGCCATCTCTTTTAAAGCATTTAGCAAGTATTTTGATCTGATAAGGCTCTCTTACAGCTATCTTGTCAGGGCATTATTTATAGAGAGCATGTCCTAAATATCACTGAGGAAGCATCCCTGTATGAGGAGTTTTGTCATAATGATGTCAATATTTAACATTTCTAATTTAATATGTCTAATTTCAAGACACAATATACAATATCTCCTTTGGTCTTCACTCTGCCTAGAGTAGGCAGGGCAAATTGGATTCCTCTTATTTGACGAATAAAGGAGCTGAAGCTTCAGAGAGTTTAATTTAAGTGGCTTTGCCAAGGTCACATGGTATAGAGGGACTGGAACTCACTCTTCAAACCCCTGGTCCACTGCTCTTTTACATCATGTTGTGGGTACTTATAGTAACACTTCTAGAAGAAAAGTGGCTTAGAAGGACTTGTTACCCCCTCTGTTGTTTTGAGTTAATGTGATTCCAGGATGGGAATTATGCTTTTCATGTATGTAGACCTTGTGGAAAAAGAATTGTTGCAGAGAAAGCAGCATGAAACATGAGTTTCTTGATATATTAAAACTTCATAAAGAACCAGTGACTCTATATTAAATCACATTTAGCAAAGATAGGAAGAAAAGGGGATTTATTAAAAGGAGTATTGTGTCAGGCATTGTGCTAAGTTCTGAGTCACAGTTGGGGAAACTGGGGCAAATAGTTTAAGTGATTTGCCCAGGGTCACAGAGCTAATAAGTAAACAAGGCCAAATTCCTGACTCCAAACACAGAAGTGTATTTTCACTACTCTGCCTAGCTGCCTCTACTTTGTACCTGGTACTACACTAGACACTGGGGGGCGAGGGGGTAGAATACCCCCCGAAATTTTGCATGCGTGCGCATGCACACACACGCGCGCACACACACACACACACACAGAGAGCAACAATTCCTTCACTGGGTATCCTGTGGTTGGTGTATATATTGTTTCAGCAATATCCATTTTGTTTACAGTGGTGTAAATTTGATGACGATGTTGTGTCAAGGTGTACAAAGGAAGAAGCAATTGAGCATAATTACGGAGGTCATGATGATGACTTATCGGTTCGGCATTGTACTAATGCTTATATGTTAGTTTATATCAGGGAATCAAAACTGAGTAAGTATATAATTGGTTATTTTTATTGTATACTTCTCTTCCTTGATCATTTAAAATTATTTTCTCATCTTAATTTCAGAATATATCCATTTTTCTCTACTCAGCATCCTTTTCAACAAAGAATAAAAAAGGCTAGAGGATTTAGTATAAGCAATCAACACAGATTGTATTATGAAGTTGTATAGATTTTTTGGTAACCTATCAGCAACTACCTTAAATGATTTATACCAAAGTGTTGTCTTCTGGGGAGGTGGAAGAGACTTTTTTTTTTAATTTGGAAGTCCTTGTCAGATTTTAAAGATATAAATCTATCTTGAGTTCAAGAGGAAAGTTAGTCAAATCAGGCATGTGGCTATCTTTTATTTTGGTATGAGTCCATGGCATAAAGAGTAATTCTTCAGCCAACAGACCAGACTACATAATGAAATTGAAAAATGATTAATCAGATTAGCATATTCACTTCAGAGGAGTAGAATTGAATCACTTAAAAAAAATTAAACTAAATCCCAGTTATTTCTGCAGGTGAAGTTTTGCAAGCTGTCACTGATCATGATATTCCTCAACAATTGGTAGAACGCTTACAAGAAGAAAAAAGAATAGAGGCTCAAAAGAGGAAGGAGCGGCAGGAAGCCCATCTCTATATGCAAGTGCAGGTCAGCTTCCAAACCAAGGAGGGCACAAAGTCCTTATTTGACTGTTAGATGAGACAGGTATAAAAGCATGGGTATAAAGCATGAATTCCTATGAATGTTCAGACTTTAGGAGTAATAAGTGACCAATGAGAAAAAATTAGACATAGCTACAAACAATATTTGGAGTTATTTTTCTTATTTTTAATCGTATTTTTTAATGTTTTTGTCTGCCTAGCATTAGATTAGGAACTATAGAAATACAAAAGATAAAGACATTCACTAATGGAAAAACTTGTTGAGCAAGACAGGTGATTAATGATTCATGCCCACCCAAAGTATGTGTACCACTTAGACAGATATCCATCTGGAAGGTCATAGTATCTTCCTCTCAGATTTTTCTCTCATAAGTCCTTTTCTCCCTTGCCCTGTGCTCAGAAGTCTTAATGGGATGAAGAGTTAATTCTAGCTTTTCTTTTTTTTCCATCGACTATCCCCCCCCCCGCCCCAAATTGGTTATGTTGACAGTGTTTCTAACTGCTATTATCTCACATCACTACCATCACCTCCATCTTTGTGTTCTTATCCTCCAAACCCCCTGTTAGATTCCTGTGTTGAAATGTCCAGGCTAATCTGAGCCTAATTCTTTTTTCCCACAAAAGTCAACTCTTGGGTCTACCAGGAGTTATTTATGTATCTATTTATTTTAGTACCTGTGTCTTTTTATGTACACTGGACCATTAGCTATTTGCGTTTTACACAGGCTAGGAAAGGAGAAGAAACTGGTTAGGGACATTGAAAAAGGAAGGCGATATTGCACTCAAGAAGTTTACGTTCTACTAGAGAGAACAAATCAAATTTTTAAACTAGATTTGCACTATACAGAAAATAGGTTGCATTCATCTAGTGCTTTACATTACTTCTCATTTTATTTTCTTAGTATATATGTATATATGAATATGATATGGTGTTCTGACTCAGAGAAAAAATGTCAGTTTCTTTTTCTTAAAGGAATTGATGTTCTTTGAGTTAGAATTTGCGGGTTTTGTGGGTATATATGGCTATTTGTATTTAGTCTTTTTTCCCTATCATTTTCTCCTTGAACTAGCTGTAAATCATCACACTGATTTTATTCATTAAGGTTGGTTGATAGATTGCCTATTTTTAATCATTTTCACATGTCAATGCGTATTTCCAGATAGTGACCGAGGACCAGTTTTGTGGGCACCAAGGCAATGATATGTATGATGAAGAAAAAGTAAAATATACGGTCTTCAAAGTATTAAAAAACTCCTCATTAGCTGAGTTTGTACAGAATCTTTCTCAAACCATGGTAAGTTTGTTTTGTTGAATGATTCTTGTAACATTCAGTTTTGGTGCCCTAGTTCAGTGGTTCCATTTGTTGGGAAAATTCTTCCTAACTGAACTTGTAAAGAGAAAATTGTCTTCAGTTTGTATCTTATGGGGGTGAATTTTTGTCCAAATCTTTTATGAAGGTCATGAGGTAAGCTGATGAAACCTTTGTTAGTTTCTCTTCACCCTTAAGTGCTAGAAATATTTTTCCTATAAAGTTGATACAAAATCCACAAAAGGTAGAATTGCAGAGAATGAATGAAATTGTTTACTATATTTCAAGCATTGTTCCAAGTGTTGGAGATATAAATACCAAAGGAAAGCAATTCACTGCCTTAGAGGAGCTTACTTTTTTCAATAAAGATTTTTTATTGCTATCTTTTGTTTTTATATCACTTACATTTCCCCTGTGTCTCTCTCCCTGAGAGACAAGTTAATCAAAAGAAGAAGATACCTATAAACCATTCCCTCAGGAGCTTACATTCTAATGGAGGACACAATACATAAAAGGAAGGAACGTCCAAAGACTGATTAGTATTTTAGTTTGGAAGATCAGAGACAAGGATGGTGATTGTAGCCATAGGGAAATCTAATAGGCAACATCAGAGGAAGGACTGGTCTGTGTTGTCTGAGCAAACTTCTCATGCTGCAGCAGCCTTCAGGAGATTAAATGTCTTTGTTGTTTTGTTTTATTGATAACTGTACTTGACTAGCACTCTTACCAAGGCACAAAATTGATTCTCAGATGTCACATTTCCTCTTGGATGTTTCTGCTTAGTATAGTACCTAACAGAAGAAGCTTTGATCATTCATAAAGTGAGTAGTCAAGAACTATTTCCCTGGTGGGAAGGGAATGGGAAAAAAGATTGCAGTTATGATAGATTTTCCAGAGAAGCACAAGAATACTTGGTAACAGACCACTAATGTTTTTGACTCTTTACAGCCTGTGATTGTAAATTATTAAAGATGATAGTAATAGGTGGCGCAGTGGATAGAGCCCTGGAGTCAGGAGTACCTGAGTTCAAATCCAGCCTCAGACAAGTAACACTTACTAGCTGTGTGACCCTGGGCAAGTCACTTAACCCCATTGCCTGGCTAAAAAAAAAGTGTGAAGATGATAATAGCTGATAGTGACATGGTGCTGTTTTTTCTGGGAAGATCATGTGAGGATTGATCTTTGATTTCATCAGTATAGGGAACTATCAAGATGGAAAAGTCTTTCTCCCACACAGATTAATATTCTCATCAGTGACTTAAGTCTTAGAGTTGCTTTCAAGCACCAAGTGTTTTAAGTGATTTGGTAGTGGTCACACAACACTATGTAGGCAGCCTTTGAACCCATGTCTTCCTAACTTTAAGGTGAGCGTCATCCATTACACCGTGCTGCTTCAAATTATTCTTTCAAGTCTGCAAAATGCTTTTATGTATAGTATCACACTTGAGCCCCATAGCAACCCTATGAGGCATCTGAGATTAAAGATTTTAAATGATTTTCCCAGAGTCTCTTAGCTAGTAAGAATCAATTAGATTTTGAATCCGGACCTTTTTGAGTCTCAGGTCCAGTATTCTATCCATTATGATACTTCATTGGGATTTTATGTTTTGTTTGTTTAGGGATTTCCACAGGATCAGATTCGATTATGGCCCATGCAGGCAAGGAGTAATGGAACAAAAAGACCAGCAATGTTAGATAATGAAGCAGATGGCAATAAAACAGTAAGTTTTATATGTGATACTAGCCTCTTATATGATCCAGCCTAGAGAGTTCTAGAAATATGGGATCACATCTTCATTTTATGAATAAATTTTTGCTGCCAAGTTCAGTGACCTATCTTTGTTTCTCCCAAATAGATGATTGAACTCAGTGACAATGAAAATCCATGGACGATATTCCTTGAAACAGTAGATCCTGAGATGGCTGCTAGTGGGGCAACATTACCGAAGTTTGATAAAGACCGTAAGTTCTTCTTAAAAATAAAAGCTTTGTAGTAAACTAAGAGCAAAGCAATGTGAGTTGTGTTCCCTAATCGGGTTTTTTTTTTGTTGTTGTTGTTGTTGTTGTTGTTACCACTTGTAAGTAGAATTCAGGGGAAGAAAGGGACTATTCTGGGGTTATGTGACAACTCTGTGCATGTGTGATTGAGCAGAGAAGAGGAAATTGGAGCTTTTGTAAGAGCATAAGAACAGAGATGAGACTTTCCAAATGTCAATACGATACAGTAAAGTGAGCCAAGGACATACATGTTTAAGGTCCTTCCTTGTATCATACAGGTTTAGCCTTTTGTATGTTATTTAACATAATTTAGAATACATAAAATCAGAAGTCATGTCAAAAAAGTCAGAAGTGCTCATCATCTAGCACATACTTCAAAAGAGACCATATTTCTAGTGATGAACTTACTCAATATAATATAAGTTAGGCTAGTCATAGATGATGAAGTAGATGTCATGTATGGTCTTTGACAATAGATGGTCCTCAAGAGATATTCTTTGTCTGTAAAAATAGTCCTGTGTAAACCTTGACAAGATCTTGCAAACCAAATTAATCTGTACTTTAATACCTGCTAATGTAGATGGGAATAAAAGAGGATGGGTAGGGGAAAAAACGTTCAGGTTTGAGAAACCTTACAAACCTCATTTTTTTTTAATGGTGTAATAATAGATAGGACTGGAGATACAAAGAAAGGCAAATCCCAACACCGAAAAACCCCTCTGCACAAATAGCACATATTCTAATGGGGTAGACATCATATTAATAAATTGGTACTGGCAAGAAGAGAGAGTGTGTGTGTTTAAACGGAGGTAATTTAAAAGTGGAAGGCATTAATTAGCAGTTGAGAGGCAGGGAGATAACAAGAAAGGCCTGTTGCAGAAGGTAGGATTTTAGCAGTCTCAAAAGGAATCCAGGGAAATCAAGAAGCAGAGGTAAGGGAACAGAGCAGGAGAAAGCCGGTGTAAAGACACAGAGAATGGAGATGGAAAGTCATGTTTGACAGACTGGGAGTAGACCACCATAACTGGATCATACATAGAGGGCTGTAAGAAGTCAGGAGAAGTAGAAAGGAGCCAGATATTATATAATGTGTTCAGCTTTTCTCCAGTTGATGGCCAACCACTTTATTTTCAGCTCTTTGCTACAGCAAAAAATGTTGTAAATAACTTCATCTCCATCCCCTTCCTCAAGATCCATTTTAATAATAAATAATATTTCTTACCAAAAAAGGGAAAAAAATCAGCACTGATCAGTACATTGAAAATATATAGAATGTACTACATTCGTGGATTTCCTGTCTTTTTAATTTTGCAACGTTCACTTCTTTTGGGGCAGGAGGGATTCTTTCCATTTACATTCTTATAATTATTGCACATACTGTTTTCTTGGCACCTCTTCATTCACTCTGCATCAGTTCTGTGTACATCTTTTCATGGTTTTCTGTATTGATCATGTTAATTAAATGTAAAATATTACATGTTCTAGAGTAACATTTTGAACATGTTGGAAGATTTCTCTGATGGATTTACAGATTGACATGGACAGGAATGGCATAGGTTGAGAAGATATAGATGGTTTCCTTTGGGGGGGGAATATTTACATTGATGAGTTCCTAAGATACTTTGTATAAATATTTAAATGTCCCTAATGTACTACAGGATATTAGGCCTAGTCTTTTTTATAGAAGCTGCTAATGCCTGCACTTTGGCTGAAAAATCTTAGGGCCACCCCCCTGCCATTAAGAGGTAGGACTTCAGTTTAGGTTTATCCATTACAACATTGACAGATTGCCCTGAGTCACACAGTTCAAAGAAGAACCTATGTTTGATCCTAGACTAATGTTCTTTCATCACCTTTACTCCAGTATAATTATATCATAATAAACAAATAAACTTCAAAAATTTGTTAGAGTTCAACATAATTTGAGGCCCTGGCATTAATTAATAGCTTCTAATAATACTAATCAAGTTTAAATGAAACGATAAGTGAACTTTATTTTTAAACTTAATATGTTTTTGGTGTTTAATATGGAGTGTGTATGTGTGTGTGTGTGTTTGGTATTTATGCAAAAATCTGTTTATCAATTTACAGATGATGTAATGCTATTCCTGAAGATGTATGATCCAAAAACACGGAGTTTGAATTATTGTGGACATATCTATACGCCTATATCCTGTAAAATTCGTAAGTCTTTACGTAAGCTTTTCTTTTACAATCTAGAATTTTGGTACTTAAAATTTCAGTGTATTACAATGTGATATGTTGTTATGCATGTGTTTTTTTTTTCTTTGTTAGGCGACTTGCTCCCAGTTATGTGTGAAAGAGCAGGATTTTCCCAAGAAACTAACCTTATCCTCTATGAGGTTTGGATTGTTTACCTTTTCTACAATAACATTCTATGCTATATTAAATGGTAGTTCTAAGTTTCATTTGCTCATCCTGACTGGTATTAAATTATGTAAAGTAGTGATGATTTCAAACTTGTGTTTTTAGCCAGATTGTGATTTAAAGAAAATAAATTTAACATCACACTAATTGTATACCTATTTTGTGACTTAGTGTTTATGTTTAGTTAAGAATCCTTATACTATATATCTTAAGCTTATGTTTAAGATAAAATGATTACGAAAATTCTTTACTAAAGAAAGTAAATGCCATGCATTGTTATTAGATTACTGTTTTTCTCAGTTCTTATAAAAACAAAAGCTGTTTTGTTTTTGTTTTCATGTTATTTTTTTACTATAGGAAGTTAAACCGAATTTAACAGAGAGAATTCAGGATTATGATGTGTCTCTTGATAAAGCACTCGATGAACTAATGGATGGTGACATCATAGTGTTTCAGAAGTAAGTATTTTTTGAATGATCAAGTTGAACTAATTGTTAAACTTTTTCTTATTGAATGGTGGGAATTTGTCATACGAAATTTAAACCTGGCCTTTGTTTACCATATACTTGATACCTTTTACCTAAATTTAAATAAGCTTAAACCCAAACAACTAACTGTGGAAAGAGCAGTCTGTGAGCCAGCTCTGCTATTTGCTGCCATGGTAGCCTTGGGAAAGTCATTTTTCCTTTCTGAGCCTCCTCTATAAAATGAGCATATACAACTGGAAGGCCCCCAAGGTTCTTTCTAGTGATAGTCTATACTCTTACAAGGATTAAGTAAAGAACTCTGATATTTCTCTAGTCATCTGATTTTCAAATTAGCCTCACTTAACTTTCTCCCAAACAAAGATTAAAGCTGAATTGTAGTTGTCAGAGAATTTTCTTTTGTAGTCTGTATGCTAGATTAATGGCATGGTTATATTTGGATTTAAAATGAGTATTTCTATGCTTTCTGTCATGGATATGCGATTGTGTCTTAAATATGACCTAATACTAAAGATTTTCCTTGCTTATTCCCTTAAAGTTAAACATCATCTAGGAACAACCAGATTTTGGATAGCAGATTAGAACCAGTCTTATTTTTAAGATCATGCAAATAAACTTTCTAAGTGTCATTCAAAAACTTAAGTTGTGAGACATTAATCTTAATAGATTTTCCTCTAGAGGTATATTTGTCTTGCACTAGACCATTTTAAAATACTAGTTTGTAGTCTTCTAAGCCACAAAACATAACATTTAAATGTCAATATGATGTAGATAAGTTTCTATCAAATTAATTTTCTCGTTGAAAATATCTTTAAAAAATATTAGTGTAATTTGTGTTAACCATTTCTCCTATCACATAGTTTTAAGTAGTTAATAACTTAGGTTGGTTTTTTAATTTGTTTTTTTTTTCCAGAGATGACCCAGAAAATGATAACAGTGAACTACCAACTGCAAAGGAGTATTTCAGAGACTTGTATCACCGTGTGGATGTCATTTTCTGTGATAAAACTATTCCTAATGATCCTGGGTTTGTTGTTACATTGTCAAATAGGATGAATTATTTTCAGGTATGTGTTACAAATTGCAGTTTTGCTTCCCAGGCTATAGAAAAAATTGTTTTTCCTTCAGTCTAGTTAAAAGAACTTCTCTAGTAAATAGAATCTGCAAGAAATTGTTCAGACTATCAGTTTTAAACTTGGGTCATTTTGGCATTGTGTAGGTCATACTCAAAACACATAATACACTTTAAATTATATTAAGAATTTTCCCCATGACATACTTTTCACTTCTTTTTTCCTTCCTTAATTATTTGTAATATTCCTACAGAAATGAGATGTATGAGTTGTTCCCCTTCCCATTATTCCCAACAAAGTATACATTTTTGTTACTCATACTTCACACTCTTTATGCTTTTGTATCCCAAAGCCCAGCTTTGGGGAAATTTAGAATGGGGGGCAAGGGGAGGAATGTGTGTGTGTGTGTGTGTGTGTGTGTGTGTGTGTGTGTGTGTGTGTGTGTGTGTGTATTATATGTTATGTGTGTATATTGTGTTGTGTAACCACAATATAATGGGTATATATAAAAATTAACCTCAGCTTTTGGGGTGCAGGCGTTTCTTAAGAAATTCAAATTTATTTCTATCAACATAACTTTGGCATTTTACAACTAGATAGTAGAAAATAGATTTGGAGCATTCTTATATATACCCATTAAAACAAACTCCATTTTAAAGCTGTTGGCCATCTTAGGCAATTCACTGGAATATTCCAGTGAATTGTGTATAAATTGGTTTTCATTTTCTCCAGTCTTAGTATGTTAGGATTGAATTTCTGATAACTATAATTAGGAAAATGGAGCAATATTTAATAAGAAAATGTATCCCTTTGGTAAGCTAAAATATTTGAATAAAAATTGGGTGAACCAGGGTTATTTCAATATATTGAGGGTTTTTTCTTGAACTGCAAAGACTAAGATCATCTCCATCATTATGATGAGCCAGCGAAAAAGCTAAGAAAACTATTGGTGTAGGTCATATTCTATCCATATCCGTATGCCTTTCAGTATTTACCAAGAAAACTGGTAATGTGTTGATAGCTCATAATTATATTTAAATTTTACATTTTGATCTAGTTTGAGACATACCTTGTCATCACCACCATTTCCTTTTCTTAGGTTGCAAAGACAGTTGCACAGAGGCTAAATACAGATCCAATGCTACTTCAGTTTTTCAAGTCCCAAGGGTAAGATGTATTTATAGAAATCTGTGTTGTTCAGCCTGGCATTTATTTCCATGTGCTTTCTCTGGTATAGTGAAACCTGTTTAAAATAAGTTATAGCCTTTTTTTTTTCAATTGCCCATGCCAAGCAAGTCCTTCAGTTGGCATTCCATTGCTTCCTATTACTGCAGTGGGTTGGCCTAAGGAAAGAGTAGGAGGTTTTGTATTTTAATATTTTGCAGTCACTGATTTGAAAAACTGAAGGGTGACTGGTTGCAGAATGTGTGTTAGCTGGAAGATGGTGATCATGTGAAACTTGTTGAATGGGAAGAAAAGAGCTTTTTCAGGCAATTAGCCTGAAATGTAAAGGAGTAAGTCAAAGTATAATTTTTAAGGATGCTTATTTTATTTGCAGTTTCAGTTATATGATTTCAGAATCTTAAACTTTTAAAAGAAACTTCAGCATATATTCATATGTAAATATTACATTTGGTAGCAGTATTTGCCATGATGCAAGATTATTTCATCTGTGAGTATTTAAAAAAAAAAAGACAACTACATAATCTGTTGGTTTAGGTAATTCCAATGGTTGATTCTGAATTACATACCTAGGATTAAAAGGATAGTGGCTTGCTTCTGTATGTACAGCCAGATGTTTAGACTGTAGGTATAAATAAACAAATTATATTTATATACTCTTTTCTTGTGTAGTTATAGGGATGGCCCAGGTAATCCTCTTAGACATAATTATGAAGGTACTTTAAGAGATCTCCTGCAGTTCTTTAAACCCAGACAACCCAAGAAACTTTACTACCAGCAGGTAGGAAGCCAAATCATTTATAAGTGAAGTGACAATAATCATAAAAAGGGTGGGAGGAAAATACATGTGGATATATGTTTAAACTGTGTTTGTTTTTCCTAGCTGAAAATGAAAATAACAGATTTTGAAAATCGGAGGAGTTTTAAATGTATTTGGCTAAACACTCAATTTAGGGAAGAGGTAAGCAAAGTAAAATGCATAATATGAGCTAATTCTAAGCTTCCTCATTAAAGTTTTGTTGTTGTTCAGTTATATCGAACCCTTTGTTACCCCATGGACCCTATTGTCCATGAGTTTTCTTGACAAAGATACTAGAGTGCTTAGATATTTCCTTCTCTAGTGGATTAAGGCAAACAGGCATTAAGTTACTTGCCCAGGGTCACACAGCTATTTAAGTGTCTGAGTCTGGATATGAATTTAGGTCTTCATGAGTCAGGAAGATGAGTCTTCCTAAGTTCAAATCTGGCCTCAGATACTTACTAGTTGTATGACGCTGGACATGTCACTTAATCCTGTTTGCTTCAGTTTCCTCATCTGTAAAATGAACCAGAGAAAGAAATGTCAAATCTCCTCCAGTATCTTTGCCAAGAAATCCCCAAGTAGGATCACAAAGAGTCAGACATGACTGAAACCCCAAATGGGTTTAGAGCGCAGCACTCTATCCACTGAACCACCTTGCTTGCTTGCCTCCTAGGCAAACAGAGGTTAAGATTTGAACTCAGGTCTTCCTGACTGCAGGCTCAGTGCTCTATTCATTGAACCATCTAGCTGCCTCTAGCATTTTCATGTGATTCAAATGAAAATATTCATCTATAGATATTCCACTTCAATCTTTCAGTCATACATATAACTATGTATAAAGTTGAGTGATTAAAATGTCTTTTTCTGGAGGGCTCAGGATTTAAAAATATTTGATAGCATATTGTTGATAGCAGGTAAAAATAATCCTGAAGATTTTTTTAGATTTAATTCATATTGCTCCTGAGCTTTTATAACACTGAAATTATTTCCAAGTATACTTCCTTCTCCTCTCAAAAGGAAAAAAGAAATCTGGACTTGATCTTTTCCTGTGCACTGAGAAAATCACATCCAGAAACAAAATCTCTCTAGAGAATACCATTATTTTCACAGTATTATGAAAAGAATAAGATTTGTGGCATCCTTTTTTTGTAATCGTGGAGAATTTGGTGAATATTTTCCTTACATTTGACTGGGCCTCAAAGGATTGGATGCAAAATTGACACTGGCTGTCATAGCCATTTATTACTCTGGGATAAATAGTTGCATATTTCCCTGATTCGTTAGATTGCAGTTGTAGCACTTTGTGAGCCCATTTTGAAGTAAATGCAATTGTAATAAACTTAAAGATGTAACATGGAGAAACCATACTTGAAAATTTGGAATAATTTATGAGCAAACCATTATATATGTGACAAATTTTTTATATCTTTCCACTAAAACTTTCCTATGGAACTTGGCTTCTGAGTTGGCCTCAAGGTATAGCAATAGGCTGTACCTTGCAGCTTCTTTTTAAAATGGTTATAAGAATTCTTTACCAGCATACTGCATGTAGGGCATGGTAAATTAAGACTTTTTTAAATTATTCTGCTACATTTTTCGTCTCAGATTATCTTCTATATTGCACATATTCTCTCTTGATTTAAAATGGTAGTATTTGTCATTTGAATTTTACTAGATTCTCCAGATACTTTCAGACATTTCTAAAGGGTGACACTTAGAAGTAAAACTACTAATTAGCCATTTTGAACGTAATGTTTTTCCATACCTTGTGTCAGGCCAGATTAGATTATTATTGCAGGTACCTTACACTATGAAAACTATTTTGTTGATGTAGGTGTCCTGACTCTGATAGTCTATGATTCTAGATAGTCACACCACTTTTGTTTACTGCTTTGCAAAATATACTGTGTACCTCACTAGGTTGCTGTGAAAGAAATGCTTTTTTAAAATGTTATAAAAATGTCCATTTTTTGTCTGATGCTATGTAGATTATAATAGCTCATCCATACCTAAGTAGACAGTGTCATGAATTTCTGGGGAAGAGGGAGGGGAGGATTATCTAATCTTGTGACAAGAGTTTCTGTAGTTAGCTCGGAAATTTTAGGCCACAGTTTGTTGCTGCTGCACCACTACTCTGCTTGCGTATTATCTGCTATAGCTAGTTTTCTTTTTGTTATCACCCTTGAGGACTTGGCCATTTCCACATGAAGGTGAGACATTGGGAAACTTGGATGGAAAAAGCCATTTTGTATTTTTTAAACAGTATGTGTTTAATTATTTTACTATTTAGGAAATAACACTATATCCAGACAAACATGGGTGTGTCCGGGACCTGTTAGAAGAATGTAAAAAGGCTGTAGAACTATGTGAGAAAGCGTCAGGGAAACTTAGGTAAGCATTTCCTGAAAATAGTCTTGGAAAGTGTAAAGGAAGCAAGACAAAACAGTCTTGCTGTTCAATTATATTCATCTAAACTTTTTTGCTTTTTGGTGAGGCAGTCAGGGTTAAGTGACTTGCACAGGGTCACAACTAGTAAATGTCAAGTATCTGAAGCCAAATTTGAACTATTGGGGTCCTCCCAACTCCAAGGCTGGAGCTCTGTCCACTGTGCCACCTCAATGCCCCTGTTCATCTATTAAATAGGCACTGTGCTCACCACTGGAGGTGAGACCCCCAAAAAAGGAGGATCCAACAAAAAAGACATAAGTGGTGAGATAGGAGAACCAGAGAATAAAAATCTAGAGAGGAAAGTGATCAACAGTGTTTAAAGGCTACCAGGAGGTCACAGAGAATGAGGATTTACAAAAGACCACTGGATTTGGCAAATAAGAGATCATTAGTAATTTTGGAGAGCAGCTTTGGTGGTATGAGATCAGAAACCAGAATGTAAGGAAGTGAGAAGAAAGTGAAAAGAAAGAAATGGAGGTACATTTCTTCTCTCCATTATAGTTGGCCCTTTTAAGGATTTTAGCTCCAGAAGGGCAGAAAGATATATAAGACAATGGTTAGTGGGAAGGGGAAACGAAGGATCAAGTGATGTTTTTTCAGGATAGGGGAAACTGAAAAAGTAGAGGTTAGCCTTGGTAAGCAGTAAGGCCACTTCACCAGACAGGGGCCCTTAAAGGAGGAAAAATTGACAGGATGCATCTGAGTGATAGAAGTTAAAGAAGAAGGGAGAAGAGGAAGTTCACAGCAAGTGGCTTCGATTTTTTTCTGTAAAATGTGAGACAACGTTCTCAGCTGAGACAGTGGGGAGATGCTGAGCTCCATGGGCTTGTGAAGGTAAGAAAAGGTTTGAAGAGTTGGGATAGTGAGTTGATATGGTAGATGTAATAGGATTGCCTAGTGGCAATGAAGGCCCAGTTGAGGTTGTATAACATAAACTTGTAATGGACCTAGTCAGAATCATTGTGGTTCTTACACCTTTATTCAGTAGCAGGCATGAAGGTAACAGATAGTGGGAATCATCCAGGGTTGAAGCTTGCCTGGGTGTAATTAGAGATATGGTAAGGAGGCTGGGGATTGAAGAGAGGAAGACAGTACAGTTGAATTGGTTCACCAACAATCAGTGTGGGGAGAAGAGGAAGGAATGACTAGTGCAGGGTAGATGGCCTTAGAGAATTGAGGGGTCAAGGAATTGGAGGTTACATAGTGAGGATGAAGAGTAAGGTTTTCTAAGGGAAGGCACAGGAAGAGGTGAAAGCCAATAGATTATGGTCAGAAAACAGTAATTCAGAGTTCTTGAACATGATGATTGTAAAGGGTATGACCATCTTTGCACGTGGCTGAAGTTGGGTGGAAGAGTCTGTCATTGGAGGTGAGTAGGGTAGGTTGAGGAACTGAATGGTTGGGGTGGTAGAGTCAATAGGTATATTGAAAGTCCCCTAGTATGAGGGCGGAGTTGGAGAGAAAGAAAAAATTGTGAACCATGTATTGAACTCATTGAGGAAGGAAGAGGATTGGGGTCTAGAGACAACAGCTACCAAGTTTTTGATTGGGTGGTAGATTTGCATAGCATGAACTTCAAATGAAGGAGAAGTTATTGAGTGATGGAAGAATGGGAAGAACTTGCAGGTGGCAGTGGGGGAGCAAGGGGTATTTCAACTCCTTCTGCCTTGACTGAAGAGCTAAGGAGAATGAATGAAGGCCTAGCCAGTACCAGAAAGGAGGCTGTGTCATCAGAGGGAAGCTAGGTTTCTGTAAGAACTAGTAGGTAGAAGGTGTGGGAGAAGATGTAAGATGAAGAGAAGTTTGTTGCCTACGGAATGGGCAGAGGGCACAATGGAAGGATTGGGTGGAGTTAAATTGAACATTTGTGTGGGAGGGTCCAGGGGATTGGGAATGAGGAATCAGGTGGGTTAGGAGTATGGCATGGGGTTTGGCTGATGATCCACAGGAGTTTAAAGTCACTGGGATGTGAAGGGCATGACCAGGTGTGAGAATGTTCATCATTTCCACTTCTCTACCCTCAAAGGACAGGCATAGCATGAGTTGGGAAGCCTACAGGTCATAGGGTGGGATGTTCTCTATATCCCAGAGTGATAGTTACAAAGGAAAGCAACAAATCTAGGTTTATCGACAAAGAATTAAATTGATTATTTAGAATTTGAATTTAAGTCCTTTTGTCTTCTATCTTTGCCCAACATTTTGTTGGTGTTAGCCAAAATCAGTAAGGCAGAAAGAGGTAGACAGCTGAATAAATGGAAAAACCCTTGAAACATAAAATTTATTTGGAAATTGTTAGATCTTATTATTCTTTTGATAAGAAAAGACAATGTTTAGGCCATTTTAAGGGTCATATTTAGTTTAAATGATCAGTTAAGATGATAAATAATTGTCTGACTTCTAAGATTTGTTTTAATGACAGCTGTTCTTAAAATAAGGAAAAGCCTTTTAATTCAGATATAATGTTGTTTAATGAGTTATTTGTCCATGTATATTTAAAGTTAGTGATCATTTCATTATCCCATCTTTCCCTCTCACATGTTTATTTCTTGTAATTTTTTTCCAATTAGCATCTATTTTTTCTCTCCCCAACTCCCTCCACCATTAAGGAGGAAAAACCCCTTTGACATTTCAACCCAAAAAATTGTTAACTTGGTTAAGTGATATACCCCATAAAGTGAATCCTGTTAGACAAATTTAGAATAGGTAAGTTCAGAAAGTACCGCTAGTTGTAATAATTTAATCCAAGCAGTCATTTTTGTAAAATTCCTTTAATTCTGTTTCTACTCATTTCCTATTTTTAAGGCTGCTAGAAATCGTAAGCTACAAAATTATTGGTGTCCATCAGGAAGATGAATTGTTAGAATGTTTATCACCTGCAACAAGTCGAACGTTTCGAATAGAGGTTAGTAAATCACAAGATTTAGAACTGAAAGGAATTATAAAAGATTGTTATTCCTCTTTGCAAGGAAGTTGACTGTTATGATAAAAGCTAAACTTTGTGTAAAAACTAGCAGTTATTAATTAGAGTATACAACTGGCTCCTTAAATTTTCTTTTCCTTAAATTCTTTTTTAATGTTACATTTTTGATGGAAGATAGCTTTCCGATTCATGAGGGAATGGATTCTAAAGATTTCTGCAAATAGGGTACTCTAAGCAAATTTTTGTTTTGGGCAAAAAATGTTTTAGAGGGTTCTGTCCAATGCTATGATTTTTTTAAAGTTCTTCTGGTTACTTGCAGAAGAAAGCCTCCATTAGGTACTTATTTTATAGTTTTCTCATGTTACTCGCCTCCTGACAGAGGTAATGGACTCAGTCACTTGGTCAACAAACATTTACTTATTAAGTGCTTACTGTGTACTTTGTTCTGATTTATTGGGGATACAAGAAAGGTAAAAGACAGCCCCTGATCTCCAGGATCACACAGTCTACTGGGAGAAAACAAACCGTGTGCAGGATAAAACAGAGATAATCAATAGAAGGAAGGTTCTAACTTTAACAGGAATCAGGAAAGGTGTCTTGTAGAAGATAAGATTTAAGCTGTTATTTCTAAGAAGCCAGGAAATATAGATGAGAGAATTTCTGGCATAGGAGATAGCTAGTGGTGCCTGGAGTCAGGAGAATGGTTGTCTTGTGCATGACACAAAAAGGAGGCCAGAGCCTCTGGATCACAGAATATGGCAAGGAAGTTTTAAGCAGATTGGAAAAGTAGGAAGGGCCAGATTATTATGAAGGGCATTGATTGCCAAGCAAAAGGCTTTCTGTTTGATCCTGGAGACAGGCCATAAGGAGCCACTGGAGTTTATTGAACGAGGAGAGGCAGAATGACGTGGCCAGAACTGCACTTTAGTCCATCCACCTCTCTGTCAAGACTCGGGTATCATGCTTCATCATTGGTCTTCTGTAATCATGGTTGATCACAATTTTTAAGGCTTTCAAAGTTGTGTTCTGGTTTATTTGGTTTTTTTTTTAAAAACAATGTTGGTGTTGTAATAAATTATTCTACTCACTTCACACTCCATTATTTCATACAAGCCTTCTGTAGTTTCTCTGAAACCATTAGTTAATAAGTATATTAGAATGGTGCTTTTATATTGAAAATCATTTGAATTTTGATTGTCAATATATCCTTTAAAAAAAAAACTAATGCAGTTTAGAAATGACTTAAGAACAAAAAACTTGGAATTTGTTAGTGTCTGTGTATTAATTGTAAATCTACCTATTTCTGTCTTCTAAATTGTTTATCAGAACTGCTCATGATCAGAATATTTAATTTGACTACAGGAAATACCCTTGGACCAGGTAGATATAGATAAAGAAAATGAGATGCTAATCACAGTGGCTCATTTCCACAAAGAGGTCTTTGGAACTTTTGGTATACCATTTTTGCTCAGAATACACCAGGTAAGTCATTTTTTAAGATTGTCCTGCTTCTCTTCATTACCAGGCTAATCATTTGTAATACATTTATTTAATCATTTGCTTTTGTTTTTAAAAATTGCATAGTAACTGTTAGTTTAAGCTGAGGAAAGCTTGTATGTCATTTCTTCCTACTCAGTATGGGTTTTGTGAGGGCCATAACCTGCTTATATAGTTTTGAATTTTCTCCTGACATCTGACCTGGGCCACTGCTTGACTCTTAATATATTATATTATTAATAAATATATTAATATATTTTTGTTTGTGAATTGCAGTTAGCTTGCTTTTAAATTTTAAAATAAATGTCATGTATGTGGCTCATTTGAAAAGTGTTATTTTAAAATTTCAAATGGAATTTTCTATTTTTTAAATATCACTGGTTATAATATCTGTTTAATCATTTATAGGGTGAACATTTCAGAGAAGTGATGAAACGAATTCAAACAATGCTAGATATCCAGGAAAAAGAGTTTGAGAAGGTAAGAATTTACCTTAGACCTGTAGGAGGAAGTGAAAATCATTTTTGTATAGACCTATACATGATATATAATTGTTAGAGACGGTATAAAGGTTTGCTTCTGAGTAATAATGTAAAATGTGCTTCTTTCCCTAGCACAACTAAGCTTACTTTTCCTTAAACACTGGTGTTCCTTTTAGTGTGAATGAGGGGTTCCCTGATAAAATGTCAGTGTTGATGAGCCATCTTGAATGCACAGTCCCTAGATCCATCCCCAGTCTGCCCCTGCCAGTAGCCATGCCAGCAAAGCCCCTATCTCAGCAGCTTCGCAACTCTGTCTTCCCACATATTTATCCTCCTTACATTAATTTCCCCTACTGTGCCCACAACAATAACACTACACCTCTCCCTCATGGTTTGCTTTCATTATACCAAAGGATATATTATATCTGTATATATGAGAAGCTTCAGTTTATTGCTCAAGATGATAACTGGTGCTACTAATAAAATTAACCACCCCAGCAGTGTCACATTTTGCCTCTATTCAGACTTGAAAAGATTTTTGGTGTTTTTTTTTTGTGTGTGTGCTTTTTTATTTTTAAGTTTAAATTTGCCATTGTAATGATGGGTCGACACCAGTACATAAATGAAGATGAATATGAAGTCAATTTGAAAGATTTTGAGGCTCAGCCGGGTGAGTGCCTTGGTTTTTACATTATTCTTTATGAACTGCAAGTCAAAGAAGCTTAAACAGCAAAATAAATCTTATAAATTTACTAGTACTTAAATGAAATTTTAGAAGAAACACCTTATTTTAGTATGTCACTAACCAAGTAAACATCGAGTCATTTTTTTTCTTAGACTACAGTTACACTATGTACCAGGGTCCAAAACATCACAGCCTTGAAGTATTTGCCTAGTATTGTTCACTTCAACATTGACTAATAAGAAATAGTTGAATTATAATTTAAATATACAGAGAGAATGTGTATGTCTGTGTGCCTGTACACATGTACGTACATAAGTGCGTACTAACTAGCCATTGGACTTTAAAACCATAACAACTCTCACTGCTGTGTTCAAGTGTAAGCTGAAAGTTCTAAAAGTTGTTTTTTTTTTTTCCTCCTAGGTAACATGTCTCATCCCAGGCCTTGGCTGGGGCTTGACCATTTCAATAAAGCCCCAAAGAGAAGTCGCTACACTTACCTTGAAAAGGCTATTAAAATTCATAACTGACTTTACTTAACCAGTTTGTTCAAGGCAAGGGACAATACGTGTGTGTGTGTGTGCACCTTTTTAACAACAGTAGAACTTTGGTACACGTGCACTATATCTGAAGTCTTCAGCAAGAGGATTTGCTGCTGATGTTAATTTTATTTTGTTGAGGCTGTTCAGTTTGGCTTCTCTGTATCTATTGACTGCCCTTTTTGAGCAAAATGAAGGTGTTTTTATAAAGCTTGGATGCCAATGAGAGTTATTTTATGGTAAACATAATGCAAGGCAATTGTCAGCATAATGGGGGAAAGAGTTTAGTAGGACAATTGATATTGGCGAAAAATTTGTCTGTAGTATGTTTATAGATGGCATAAGCTGACTGGCTGCCCTTCCTGGTATGGTTTCTTTCACCAAACCTGCAGCGAGTAAGTCTTATGTTTAGACTCACAACTGATTTATTTCCTTCAGTTATACTTTAAATGACCTTTTGTGCATTTGTAAATGCAAAAGAAAAAGAACTCACAACATCAATAAATAGAGATCTCTACTTCATTGTGTATATTGTTGGCACTTATTCGGGATTTATGTCTCCTCCAGCTACATAGGATCTTTTTAATAAACTAGTTTTGATTTATTTAGTTCAGCCACTACTTTGCTACCCGTTTTGCAGAGTGGGTGCACTGAATAAAACCCTAAAAGACATTTTGGGTCTTTTTAATAAATTAAAAACACTGTTGAATACAATTAAGGTTTACTATGCTGCCTGTTGGCAAATTTAATGAAATCAGAAGTTGGCAAAAACAGGTTGCAAGGATTATAAATATAGTTTCATTTAAATGGGAACAGATGGAAGAAACATTAGCCTTTTAGCACAGAGGGCATGCTCACTAGTGTTTAGTAAGCTGTTGACTTTGTAAAAAAAACAAAAAACAAAAACAAAAAAAGCAAAACAAAAAAGCAAAAAAAAAATAGGAAAAGAAAAAAGAACATGAAATTGTATATTTAATGAATGAACATGTACAATTTAACACTTGGAGGTTAATTTTGTTGGGTGAGTCTGCAAGTGAATTTCACTGATGTTGATATTCATTGTGTGTAGTTTTATTTCAGTCCCAGACTGTTTCCTTTTATTTTGGAGCTAATGCCAGCGTGTCTAGTTTTGAGTGCAGTAAAAATAGAATCAGCAAATCACAATTTTTCATTCTTTTCCAGTATTTTTTTTTGTTTCTGTAGCAGCAGTGTACAACTCTTCCTGTATATTGCCTTTTTGCTGGAAAATGTTGTATGTTGAATAAAATTTTCTATAAAAATTTTACTTCAGTGAGTGACGTGGAAGTTGAGGAAGATTTCTACTCTCCCTGGAAGTACAGTTTGGGAAACCTTTTCATTTACAACAAGGTTTTACTAAGATGTATTTTTTTTTTTAATTTCAGTATTGCCAATGTGTAATCCTGGTTTTTTGACCTCTTAACTAGTCACATTTGAGCTTAAGAAATAAAAGGTTTTCCAGGAGGGAACCATGTACAAATACAATGACTGGAAATATTCTTTAAATACTTTTTAAGGTATATAGTCTGTGGGATCCATAGTTTTTGGAGTAGATTTGGCTCCACTTGCCTTGTTCAAAATTTTGTGGTCCACATACCCCAAATGTGGTGTTTATAAAGGTATATGATAAAATCTGTACTTATTAAATATGATCTCTCTTTCTAGACTTCCACTGTAATGTGTATGCCTTCATAACCCAAAAGCTGCCTTCAAAATCAATGAATAGATAGCACTAATGGGGAGTAGCAGTACCACAGACTTTGTCCTTTGAATCCCTGAAAAATTAGTTGTGGAAATGATAGTAAAGATAATTGACCAATAATTTTTGTCTTTGAACTTTAAGGGGTTTTTTGGAGGGAAAAGGGATTAAGTACAGTCTTAGAGGGTAACAGAAACCTGCCACTCTTCCATAGGATATTAAATGACTTTTTACAAAGAATTTTTGGTAATGTTTACATTGTGTGATGCATTTAATTATTACTTCCTTTCCAGTCAAGGAGATCAAAGACAGCAGTGCTTCTGAGTTTTAATTGAATGAAAAATGGTTTTCTAATTATGAAATATAAGGTACTTCCTTAATGATGGCATTAATGGCTTATATTAAACCACTGAAGTGACTACCACCTTCTTTAACATGTATTGGATACTTGCAATGTACTAGGCCTTCTGTGGGTAATCAGGATAATAGTTTTATAAAACATATGTTATAGATTCACTTAATCATTAGAGTATATAATTGGGTGGGATGCATTTTGTTTAATTTCTTGGGATATTGTGAAGCCATGGCTCATTTTAGCAGCCACAGTATTGTGATGACATGCCTTTGATAGCATACTGACATACTTATGGGTGTGTTTTTTTTTAACCAAAGTATGCAGCAACTTAATGCATCTTAGGTTAGAATGTGTTATCCTTGTAGAAGTAAAGAACCCTAAAAATATTTCCTAGTGGCAAGTTTAACAGAGCCTTTGAAAGAGATGGGTGCTGTTATGTGTATCTCAACACAAGAAGGCAGTAGGGGGAGCAAAATCTTTCTACCCAAATCATTTATTCGTTTAGTGAGAACTAAACATTGTGGCGTCTTCTAGTGTATGTTCTCAGGCTTTATAATGCCAGGAACCAGTTTATTTTGCGAATCTTACATAATGAAATTCATGAATTTCCTGGCATGAAGGGAGTTCAGCTTCCATGCCAGAAAGATCAAACATTTATACTGCTTATCTTCTACTGCTTCATCTGAATAATTGGTTAAAACTCTATTTCCACTTTGACATTTTCATTACACCTCTATTACATGGGACTAATTTTGATACCAGTTTTCCTACTAGCTTCTTGAAAAGATTTGAGTGAGGTTACATGTTTACACAAGTTGTCTCCTTTGACCCCAAGATGTGTTCAAGAAGCATGCCAGAGGCCTGTAACACTCAGGGAAAGACCACCTGATGGCATGAACTCCATTTACCAAAATCTACTTGAGCCCAGCCGTGCCAAAGTCAGTGAGTGGCTCTGGAAACTAGGCAGGGAAGAAGGAAGGGAAGTGGTCTCCCACCCAAGTCAGTAGTTGAATAGCAGAAAATATCCTGGCTATACCAGCAGAGCACAAGCTCCAGTAGATCCTACCAAGCTGGAAAGACATGAGGGAAGGCTGCCATGATATACTGCACAACTGTTTTCTGAGCACTAGCCTAAATAATTTCAGAGAGGCTTATCACCATGTTGTCTACAGGGTGATGAAAAATTCTCAAAGATACATATACTAAATTGTAGTGCAATTTTGAATTTCATTGATGAAGGGAATACTCACACTATCATCCAGTTCTTGAAGTATTGTATCAAATGAATGTGTATGGTAAGGGTTTTTTAAATTGACTTTCATACAAATTCTACTTTTGGCCAACTACTAACTTTTTATCCACTTGTCTAACATGTCATGAAACCTCCACTCAAATGTATTAGATTATGTGATAGACTGTCAGAGAACTTTCCTAAAGGAAGTCATCTTCAAGGTGACAACTGTCAGCTCAGTAACAATCTTGGGTAAAGGAGAATATCTGTACCAGTTAACTCTAATAATTTGTTATCTTCTGATTCTTACACGTTTGACTCTCACAAGTTTGAAAAAACTTAAATGTGTCTTAAGAACATAACTTGTTTGGCTTTAGCCTCCTTACTACTTTTTGGGAAGGAGGTAGGTTATAAATCTTAAATAAAAATACCTTGTTTGATTTATTCTATTTGACAGACTTGGTAGCTTTCTTCTAAAGTTTCTGAGTGATACATAAGTATTTCATCAGTAGAAGTCTTTAAATTCTGCTCTGTTGAATTCCTGTCTGTCTCCCCTTCCTTGAGAATAGAAAGGAAAGGTTTGGTTTTTGTTTTGGTTTTTAAGTAAAGAAATTAAAAGGTAAAATTAGAAAATCATTTTTCCCAGTGATTCTAAGTACTAAAGGAAAGGGGGAAAAACACTTGAACACACTTACATTTTGTGCCTTTTCCTGATTGTTTCTTTTGTTTGGTACTTTAGAAAGAAAAAGAATGGAACCATTTAATTCAAATATTGAAATAAACTTGTTCACAATGGTGATAATAGCTCAATCTTGATCATTTTTAAAAAACGTAGCACACCAGATAAAGTCAGTGGGGAGAGGAAAGAAGCAGGTATCAGTATCTCAGTCCCTTCTGTTAGTTTTAAGGTTGTTTAATGTATCAACAAGCATGTTTGAGAGTTAGCCAAGAGTCAAGTTTTGAAACCGACATGAATAATATTGTGTAGCATGGAACACGAAAACAACATAGTGGTAATTTCCGGGAAGATGGCATTAGAAAAACTGCTAATAGTTAACATTGGGTTTAATATGAGTACAGTTTATAAAGTTTGGTACAAAACCATGTATCAGGTAGTAGCTGTTGTTAGAAATAGGGGAAAAAAAAGTGGTAGATGTATCCTACTCTTAAGTATACCCAGATAGGGTGTGATTCCTTTTACCAGAATCAGTATATCTACATCCCCTTCCAGTGTGAAGGAACAGTATGAGTCTGACTAGCAAGCTAGATTTATTAACTTATGCTTGACTCAATGAAGTTCAAGGTTTTGTCCAACTTGAAAGCAAGCAGTATTCATCTACTAAGTAATCTTAATAGTTTACATGTAATAGGCACTCCATTATTTGGTTATGAAGACTTTAAAAAATGTTTCTAAATCTGCAATCAAAATGTTCAGTTTACAGACATAAATCTGGACACACACACACACACGGTTTATTTCATCCAAACTACCTTCCTATGCATCTCTACCACCTTTATTAGTTAGGGGGTGATGCAGTATTAGGTGGGTTTTTTTTTTCAATTAGAGATAACTAAAATGCCAATAGAAATAAAATGAAAACAACCTGAGAAATATAAAAGCACTTTCTGTATCCAGAGCATTTTGCTAGGCACTAGGGAGAGGCAAAGTTTGGATAGACCCTATCCTTCTAAGGAGAAAAGTGAGGCCAGAGCTCAGGCATTGTACACTGGAAGAACAAGGATAGATGATGGCTATCGGAGGTTGTAGTGAAGCTCCTCTATTCCCACGACTCCACCGAAAAAATAATTGGAAGGATTAAGGCATAAAAGACCAGGCAAGGTAAGGTTGGAAGTGTCAGCAGAAGTGTAATATCCTGTGGTGTATGGCTATTCCTGACGTGGAGGGCATCAGGAGAAAGACCTCTAGCACTGGAGAAGGTTTGGAGTGTTTGGAGGAATCGAGTTGCTCAGAATTAAAAAATGGAAAGGATGAGAAGAGGTTTGGGGATAACAAGGATATTAAAGAGGGATACAGTAATAAAATGGCATTAGAGGATGTAAGAGATAAAAGCTGAGAATGTTTGCAGAGAATAGTACAGGAGTACAATAAAAAGCCTGCAAAAATCTTATACAAGGAAATGGCAGAAGGGTCACTGAGAAGCCTGTCTTAAGAAATCCAATGAGTTGCAGTGGAAGCTTCTGGTGAAGGGCTTCCATCTTCACACTTGTCATCTCTTCTGAGCAGGGGATTGGATGACCTATTTTCACTGATTTTCAAATACCCTTGCTTTAATGTTTGAGCTAGAGATAATGGTGTCAGGAGCACCATGCAAAGAGTTAGCCTTGGCTTCACCATTTTTTTTTTCAATCTGAGACTCCAAGGGAAGAAAGCAAGGTGTAGATGTAAAAATAAGGTATTTAAGGGAGCTCCAATTGTCCTGGGACTTGAAAGGTAGGTAGGATATCAGTTTGGGGGAGGCAGTCTCCTCCAGGCCAAGATGTTCTAGACTAAGTTCAGCCCAGTGTTTCAAGCTCAGGATTGGAATTAAGTGAGCTGATCCAGCCTACACAAAACAGGTATTGTTTCTGCCGTCTATAGCAGTGTAAAGCAAGGCTCAGAGGCAGAAAAGTGGAGACACTAGATAGGAGATAACCCTTATGTGTAGAGAGTGTAGAAAGTTACTGTTTTAGCTAAGAAATTGCTGTTTCAAAATTGACAATGGCTAGAAGAGGCTAGCTGCAATTAGAATAAATATATAGTCCGTGAAATCCGAATGTTTTGCACTTGGTCTAGCAGCATTTAGGAGCAAGATAGAGGAAAAACATTGGAGATTTACATTGTACTGGTGGCAGTGAAGAAGTTCACCACTAGATGGGAGTGAATTGTCACCTCTTCCGTGGTGCGTTCATTCCCTCAGAGTGTGCTCAGCTTTCTGTTGATAAAATCCAAAGGACCCCATCCATCATGCCAAGTATTAGTTGAGCAATAAAAACTTGTAATGCCATTGGTCTTAGTGAATGAAAGTTATCTAACCTTCTCTCAAAACCATTTTTTAAAAATAGCTTTGTAATTTTTAAAGCACTTTCACATTGTTCAAGATAGCCCTGTGTGGCAGCCTCCATTTGGCAGATAAGAAGCTTCCTAGGATCATATATTTCAAGGTGGAACCTCCAAGTTCCTGTAGTTCCAATCCTGTGTGGTAAACAAGGCCTAGAGATGGGAAGTCACAAAGGTAGTAAGTGGCAGCATTTGGGCCCCAAATCCAGGCCTCAGTGCCAGAATTTATTTGCCTGAGATCTCACAGTTACGTAATGCCAGAACCAGAATTAGAACCAGTTCTTTGGGGACCTGGAGACTCATTTTTATTTTACTCCTGTACC